CCCATGCACACATACTGCCCCCATGCACACATAATGCCCCCATGCACACATACTGCCCCCCCATACACACATACTGCCCCCCCATACACACATACTGCCCCCTCATACACACATACTGCCCCCATGCACACATACTGCCCCCATGCACACATAATGCCCCCATGCACACATACTGCCCCCCCATACACACATACTGCCCCCTCATACACACACATACTGTCCCCTCATACACACATACTGCCCCCCATGCACACATACTGCTCCCTCATACACACATACTGCCCCCTCATACACACATACTGCCCCCCATACACACACTGCCCCATACACTGCCGCCCCATACACACGCATTGCCCACACTCACACACACACACACACTGCAACTGTTACACACACATACTGTCACACACATACTGTCCCACACATACACTGCACCCCTGACATACACTGCCCCCCCTACTCACACACTACAACCTTCACACACACACACACACACTGCACCCCTTACACATTGCACCACTCACACACACCACTGCTCCTATGGCCTACTACAGCCTAATTTCCCAGCAGACCTCAGGTAAGTTGTCAAACTGTTCTTAAATGGTTTGACTACTTACTCTAGGAGGGGGTCCTGGCACTATTGACACCATAACCACTACACTGAGCTGTAGTGGTTATTGTGTCCGGATTATTTCTTTAAATAATCTACAAGTGCCCCTCCCGAGATCAGGCTCTGGATCCGCCACTGGTTAGAGGTAGGTCTCTGGCAAAGTGTAGGGGCCTAGACAGGACATATTTGTGTATAAGAACTGGATTTATTATTATTATTATTATTATTATTATTATAACCTGATATTTATATGGGTATTTTATTAAAATTCAGTGCCTGTATCAAATAAAAAAATGACATCTTCTTAAACAGGAACTAGAAATAGAACATGTGTGTTGATTTACATTCAGAAGACTGTCATGATATTTTACTTCCTCAAGTTGTAAATATGTACTTGACAAAATGTTTTGGTGTTTTGAAGTTATAGTGATGCAGTAGCATTATTATTCATGAAAATTAATTAATAATCTGCTTATATTTAATATTGCCTCTTATTTACTTGGTGTACCCATTTGTCATGATATTGTGGGTGCGTTAGTGTGACCTGAGAAATGATTGAAAGTTGTTAAAGTAGAGTAATCACCAGTGGAATGTAATAAAACAGGAAATAAACAATGTGATCAATAATGTAACTTAGAACTCCTAAAACCATTGTGTCAGCTGTTTCCATGGGTTTCCTTGGTGATTGCCCGCTTTTAGAAGTTTTTACCAATTATTTTGAAAATGACACTTGTATGAATCTCCATAATGTATTGATTATAACTTGTAGGAAAATGTTCACACAAATGTAAATTGTATATAAACAGTTGCTGTACTGTGTGACTTATTGTGTATTCGTGGTGATTCTAGCTGCATGAAAAAGCTACAGTTTGTTTCATATGTTTTGTTATGAAGGCTCTTAAGCAGATTGTTGAAAGCAATAAAGTGTCTGTAGAAGCATTGCAGTTCTCCATTAAATCATACAGTGTTATTCACTATAGTGAGGGAATTGCAAAAGTTTGGCCAAAGTCACTGAATTCAGGCTGAAATCTCCAACTGTTCCTTTGGCATTTCTCAACAAAATCTAATTAGGTAAATACTATGAGTCTGACTGGGTGTACATTGTATTTTTTACTGTGGTCTTTAAAATAAATATGTTTATTTCTTAAAGTTTGCACGCCCACACATATGCATGGATTGTGCCTTGCACTCCCCATGTGCCTTCTTCACTGATCTGCCTCAACGACAAGGCTGACATGATACTAAAGGGATCGTTCTACTGTTTCAGAGGGTTCCTACACATTACTGTGTGCTATACATGTACATGTGTCCCTGCACCGGCTGGAAACAGCTGTCTCAACCCAGCAGGGGAGCAGACAAGATTGTTATACCACTGGACTAAAAGTAATAAGGATTCTACCCTCCCTGGCCAAATGTAAACACTTTTTTGTATTTTAATGTGCATATACAGGTCATACTCGAAAAATTTGAATATCGTGCAAAAGTTCATTTATATCAGTAATGCAATGTAAAAGGGGAAACTAATATATGTGATAGACGCATTACATGCAAAGCAAGATAGTTTAAGCCGTGATTTGTCATAAGTGCGATGATTATGGCTTACAGCTCATGAAAACTCCACTTATTATTCCATGCACCCACTATAGCCCCTATCACCCATGCACACCTTACAGCCCCTTTATCCCCTCTGATATTACCCCCTTCACCTGCTACAGCTTCTATCACTCGATTGCACCCCACTAAAGCCACTAGTATCCCTGCACCAACTACATCCTCTATAACACACTGCACCAGGACCGGTGCTTTCTATAGGCTAGTTATTCATCCGCCTAGGGAGCTGCTTAAAGGGGGGCGCCAGCAGGAGCTTCACTGCTCTGCTCATTTTGCCACCCCGCTATGTTGGAGAAAATATACAAATCATGTTACCGCCAGCCATGTTACCAGGTGCTAGGGAGCACTTACATTGCTGCTGACTAGCGCCTGGTGTAACACTCATCCGGCTGCCTTTACCACAGTCCGCTCAGCCAGGCCCCCCACCCAGACTCCCATTGCTGCGGCAGCACGAGGGTGCTTTAATATCTCACGTCTGCCCTTGCCCTGTACATGGGAACAAGTGGACGGGAGCATAGCAGGGGCGGGGCTGAAATGGAGTGAAGGCAGCCAGGCGCAGTGAAGCTGCCAGTTGCACACAAAAAGCAGACATATATGCAAGAAAGGTAACAAGGTCAATGGGACATCACAATGTGTGTTTCAAAGAATTGAGTGTTTCAAAGCGTGGGTCTGTATGTGTCAGCGTGTGTCTGTATGGGGCAGCGTGTGTCTGTATGGGTCAGTGTATGTCTGTATGTGTGTGTCTATATGGGTCAGTGTGTGTCTGTATAGGTCACTGTGTGTCTGTATGGGTCAGAGAGTGTCAGTGTATGTGTCTGCATGGGCAAGTAAGTGTATCTGCATGGGTCAGTGTGAATGTGTGTGTCTGCATTCATCAGTGTGTGTGTGCGTCAATCTGCATGAGTCAGTGTGTTTGCGTCAGTCTGCATGAGTTAGTGTGTGCGTCAGTCTGCATGAGTCAGTGCGTGTGCATCAGTCTTCATGGGTCAGTGTGTGTGTCAATCTGCATGGGTCAGTGCGTGTGTGTCAGTCTGCTTGGGTCAGTGTATGTCAGTCTGCATGAGTGTGTGGAGCAAATGGGGCGGCAAATTTTTCTTTTCCTAGGTCGGCAAAAATCATTGCACCAACTACAACCCCTATAGCCTCTGTGACCACTACTAATAGCATTAAGTGGTGGCAATTATCCCCTCCCCCCTCCACCAACACCGTTTTGACTGTGGTATGTTTTTGTGTCCCTCCTGTTTGCTGCTAGCCACCACTGTGTACACACATAAGAAAAAATTACACACACAAAATGTGTGCACGGAGATTAAATATTTCGAGTTCAGGTGTACTTTATGAAACCATTCGGCTAAATAAGTTGTTTTTTTTTTTTAACAGATATGTTTATTTTGCCACGATAGCACATACAGGCATTGCACAAGGCGTAATATTGGGGTATATAAGAGAACTGCACGTTTTTAAACAAATAACAGGCTAATACAGGTTGTGTCAGAGAATGGTAAGGCATTAGGCGTGATTGTAACTCGAGTAGTCTGACATTAACCTTTTCCAGGAGGAGAGAACGATACAACATGCTTAAATATGATTTAAGTTTTTTTGTTTTTTTTCATATACAAGGCATTTATATTTGTGTTTGTCATTCACAAATGCAATTACCAAATATTAACACTAGATGGAACTAAAATCCACAACAAACTTGCAACGTGAGTCACGTGGAGGAATAAACTTTCCCCTTTCCCCACAATGCTTCGGGGTTTGAATCAAGGACATTGGAAGTAAAATGTCCCAGAAGAAGGTTCTTGAATTGTTCTATGATGTGATCTCCCCCTATTCTTGGCTGGGGTTTGAGGTGAGAGAATGAATAGCATTTCATATTGCTGTCAGTGAAACTTTTACAAAGGTGGGTCAGACTTTACATGGTGAACACACAGCCTGGAGCAGTGATCACTGCTTTGTACATAGCTTTATATTTATTTACATTATTACTGCAGTTAGCTAAGCAGGTGTTTCTCATTGTTAATTTCAGCAGGCCAAATGGTTTGTTCAGGCTGAAACATTTAATACATTTTAGAGATTTAAAAAAAATTAATAATTTGAATATATAAAATATATTTTTTTCTTATTCGAATCCAGGGGCTGCCCGCATGCGCAATCCAAAATTTATTTTTGCACACCTGTACACGTATTGATAGGCAGCACAGGTAAGGTGTTTACCTGCAATATGTACAGATACAAATTCTGCAAGTAGGAAACCGTGATATTAAAGATGAATCCTGCAGTACGTGAATGCTGCATACTATATTTTCAAAGTGCTATTTTGATAACCGTAGAGGCTGAGACCTAATCATGTCACTTCACTTTTTTTTTTTGTACTTGTTAATTGAAAACTTACCGTTCCATCCTGAACCCAGGTGTAGGAATTCTATCTTGTAGAAAGTTGCACGGTTGAAGCATTTTAACCCCTTAAGGACTGAGCCAAATGTACACGTTGTGAACAAAACAAAACGTAAACAAAACCTGGCATTTGCACTACATGTCTGTCCAACCGTATTTCACCTCTTTCATATTAAATGCACCCACCCTTATTATATATCATTTTATTCAGGGGAAACAGGGCTTTCATTTAATATCAAATATTTAGCTATGAAACATAATTTAATATTAAAAAAAATGGGAGAAAATAAGTTTTTTTTAATGACGTTTTAACTGTCAATGTCATAATACTGTTTGCTTTTACGGCAATAAAATACACATATTTGTATTCAGCAAAGTCTCACGTGTAAAACAGTACACCCTATGTACAGGTTTTATGGCGTTTTGGGAAGTTACAGGGTCAAATATAGCATGTTACATTTGAAATTGAAATTCGCCAGATTGGTTACGTTGCCTTTGGGACTGTATAGTAGCCCAGGAATAAAATCTACACCCATAATGGCATACCATTTGCAATAGTAGACAACCCAAGGTATTGCAAATGGGGTATGTCCAGTCTTTTTTAGTAGCCATTTGGTCACAAACACTGGCCAAAGTTAGCGTTAGTATTTGTTTGTGTGTGAAAAATGCAAAAAACGCCAATTTTGGCCAGTGTTTGTGACTAAGTGGCTACTAAAAAAGACTGGACATACCCCGTTTGCAATACCTTGGGTTGTCTACTATTGCAAATGGTATGCCATCATAGGGGTAATTTTCATTCTTGGGCTACCATAGGGTCTCAAAGGCAACGTAATCAATCTGGCGAATTTTAATGTAAAAAAAATGAAACCCAAGCCTTTTATTTGACGCTGTAACTTTTGAAAACACCATAAAACCTGTACATGAGGGGTACTGTTATACTCGGGAGACTTCGCTGAACACACACATTTGTGTTTCAAAACAGTAAAAAGTGTAAGGGGTGCAGTGTGTGTGTATGTGTGTGGCAGTGTATGTGTGGGTGTGATAAGAAGGGTAGGGGGGCTTTTTTTTTTTTATAGTATATTTTTTTTAAATAAAATAAATATTCATTATGTCCCCCCCTCCCTTCTTACCTTTACTGGGAGGAGGGGGGACATTTCTTGATCCCTGGTGGTCAGGTGGGGATGCCCTGGTGGTCCCAGTGGGAATGCCTGGTGGCCCAGTGGGGAGAGTGAACTCTAGCCCACAGCTCCAGGGCTAGAGTTCACTCTTGCGAGATTTGGAGCGTTGCCATGATAACCGCGGCAATGCTCCGTGCTCGTGAGAGGAGGACCCGGAGGAGCTGCAGGCTGAGCTCCCGGGTCCTCTCTCACTCCCTCCCCCCGTCGGCTGCCAGCATGGTGCTTGCGGACCGGGGAGGGAGATCTCTGATCTCCCCTCCGGTCCGAGAAGGCACATTGTAGGGCTGGCGCCTGCATGTGCTGGCAGGGGAGAGGGAGACTGTCGGTTTTCTCAGGGGGGAGGGGTGGGATCCCCTGGATCCGCTATTGGGCATACATGTATGTGTTCCTGACCCTATAGTTTTCCTTTAAACTAGCCATATATTGCAGTGCATATCCTATAGATAAAAAAAAAAAAAAAGTCAAACACATCTAAAAATAACAAACTGTGATCCCACCAAGTGAGAATGCTGGGTACTCTGATAAGAGCAGCCTATCTGGTAGAAGTGACACTATAAGTGCAGTATCCTACCCCCTCTCTCACCCCTCTGCTATGAAACAAAATTGCAAACTTTTGAAAAGCAAGATGGAGTAGGTTAAGGACCAAGCTGAGGTGCTTTATGGGTGAGGACTATTCAATAATAATAATGTAAGTTTATTAAAGTGCTGATTTCTAATAGACGCCTGCCTCCCCCCTTCACACCGTAGACCAGCGTCCAGACCTCAGATCAGTATGCTGTTTGGGTCTGTTCTGGGGAACAAGTGGAACTGCAGCTTTTGCAAACAGTTTTAAGATATACCCTCAGTGAATACATGCATGAAAATACATGTATTTATTGGGGGTGTATCTACTAAACAGTGATTTTTATTTTATTAATATGGGCAGTGGAATGTTTCTTTTTAAGTGATAGAAATTTGACAGTCACTGGATTATTTACTAAAGTGAGAATTATAGTCAATTTACAATTTAAGGCAATACAACATGTGTATGTAAGCAGTAAACACACCTTTTGCTGGTTTTATGGGGTATGTGACACTCTGTCATAGCCATACTATACAGCGGCCGCACAAATGTGTGGCAGACCCAGCTGTGTGTAGCTTCATTCATGAATAAAATATGAATGAAGTTACTTGAACAAGGTGATAGAAACCTGCCCATTCTTTGTCCAAACGTTCTGCTTTTATATTAACTGCAGGATTTTTTTCCTTTTTGGACCAGGTTCTCTGCCGGTATAAAAATATATGGAATGTAGATCTTCGTCTTCGCCCTGGGCTGCTAGGGGGAATAATGCATGCTACTGGTAAGTTACTACAATATAATGAAATGGTCTAATTTAAAGTGTCCCTAACATTCCATGGTTTTACTTCATAGGGAATAACATTTCGCCTTTACGTTGAACTAGCTGGTTTGCATAGGTCTAGATAGGAAGAGTCATTTCACTGTACATACATACACTAGACTTTACAGCTACAGACGGACCTCTCACTAATGTGGTATGTTAGGTTACAGACCAAACGTCTATTGAGTATATGTTTTTATCTTTGCATATAAGCTGTTCTTTTCACAAGCACAAAGTATACATTAAAGGGACACTATAGTTACCAAAACAACTTTAGCTTAATGAAGCAGTTTTGGTGTATAGATCATGTCCCTGCAGTCTCAGTGCTCAATTATCTGCCATTTAGGAGTTAAATCACTTTGTTTATGAGCCCTAGTCACACCTCCCTGCATGTGACTTGCACCATCTTCCATAAACACTTCCTGTAAAAAGCCATCTAATGTTTATCTTTCCTTTACTGCAAGTTCTGTTTAGATTTTCTTATTCCCCTGCTAGAGCCTCCTGTATGTGATTTAAAGTTCTATTTACAGAGAAAGGGATACACATGGTAAATTACATCTGATTGAAAGTAAAACAAGTTGTGTTTTTTTTTCATGCAGGCTGTGTGAATCATAGCCAGAGGAGGTGTGACAAGGACTGCATAAGCAGAAACAAAGTGATTTAACTCCTAAATGGCAGTGAATTGAGCAGTGTATATCTACCTGAATCTGAACTTAATCAGTGCTTCACGGACAGGTTCATTTTAAACATGTACTTTGACTTGAAAACACAGTTCACTATGGCATGAACCTTGATAGCGAGAAGAGCATCAATGCTCACTCAGTTTATTTATTAACTGTACAGCAACAGCTTGTATACTTGACCTTTGCGACGAAGATTAATTCTGGGTTTTTAATCTCGCTTATGAGCACACTGTACTTTCATTAAACAGACGAATAATTACTCTAGTGTTGAGAGTTTTCCTAGCACGGCTTTTTACTTTGCAATGTGACTGTCCATTCACTCCGTACAAATATTAAAGTTCGCCTATCATGATTGATAGATAACAGTTTGGGCACATCTGTCATGGTAGCGCCAGTGCTAATGGCGAGTATTAACATAACAGCTTCTAAATAATGAATATATAATTTGTTATAAAGATATTTCAGGTCAATATGCAACTTTTCGTGAGTGCTGCTACCACTGCTATGACAGATGCTTCTCGTCCCATTTATTTGCCAACGGGCAAATAGTTCGGACATCTAAAATTTTCACCCAAGATTTTAAAGGGACTCTCTAGGCACCATAACCACTTCAACAGATTGAAGTGGTTAATGTGCATGGAGTTTGTGGGCACCAGGTCCCACATTACTACTAAACGGTTTATTTACCATTTAGTAGTTATTCTCCATCCCTAGCAGCCTGGCCTCTAACGACAAAATGGAGGCATGAATTGGTAAGGCATGAGACAGAAGTATAGCTCTACCTCCACCATAGCAGCGTTGTACGTCCAGCTTGAGACTGACAGGGACTGAGAATCTCTATTAAATGGTGAGTAAACCGTTTAATAGTGATGCAAATTCCAAACCCACAGACTCCAGATGCAATAATTACTATAATACATTGAAGTGCCTGCAGTGTTTCTTTTAGCAATATTTAGACGGCCTGAAATTGGACACAAACGCCCTGCAACGTCCCTATTACATTAGACAGAAGGGTAGAATAGTGGATCAGTGACATCATACATTCTGTTAGGATTTGGGGTATAGGATGCAGGGTTGAGATGGAGATTAGATAAAATGGAAAACTTTTTTTTACTGCAGTACCCATATTAGGATTTTTGTCCGCTATCTCTACTTATTCTCTGATTATTCAGTTTTCCTGCTGAGCAAGACCATTAACTCCCAGAATCACAGCAGTAACAACCACTTACAGTTTATATACTCTCTTGTTACGCATATTTGGTTGAAATAAAAGAATGCTTCATATTGTTTATATAAAAACAAAACATTCTTCTGTTGTTGAAAGCTAAAATTTGTTTTGGTCACATAAAACCATTTTTACACATTTTCAAGTTTTTTGTTTTCTTTAAAAGGAAAGTATGGCGAGAAAATGTCTTAGAAATTTTAAGTCATTGTAACAATGGAGTGTGCTGCTTAAAGTAGACATATCATTCATTTTCAATATTTTGAAAGAACCCATGTAAAATTGCTTATAACAAAATACAAAGGACCTCGATTTCTTACCATGAAAGTGTCTCTCCAAGTCCCGCCCTCCCACAATCTCTCCCTCTTTTTCCCCTAGTGTGCTTGAGTGGTGAGTGCTGCCTGTATGCAAAGTGTGCCTTTAAGTTTGTGCTTGCTGGGTATAGTGTGTGTGTGTGGGGCAGAGGTCTGTGGTTTCATGCCCTCCTTCCTTCCTTTTCTGTAGGGCGAGGGGCTATGATCCCTGGTGCAGCAAAGAGTCCTGGATCCCTGGTGGCCCAGTGAACAGCATGTGGTCTTTATCTCTAGCGGGTGCAGACCACAGTTATTGCTCCCTCCAGTCCCCGTGCTCAGGCTGTATCAGGCAGGGAAGATGCGACTTGGGCTGCATAAACAAACTCTAAATGGCAGAGAATTGAGCAGTGACATGACAGGGGCATGATACACATACCAAAACAACTTCATTAAACTAAAGTGGTTTGTGCTTGCCACTACTATGTATTTTGCCAGCTGGTAAAAAATATTTTAACCAGAAAAACACTCTGGGTTATGGTATAAGGATTAAATGTGGAATAAAGTAAATATATATTTTTAAAATGTATGTATGTATTTTTACTCAGGTAACAGTCCACCGGCAATGGTCCCAAATAAAGGTGCTTACATGGCAAAGGACATGCAGAGACTGTCTGAATATTTCCAAGTCCCCATACGGCAGCCAAGTGATTTTATGCATGTTATGCTTAAGAAAGGTCTGTAGTGTACTAAACTTATATGGAATTAAAATGTGTGCAAAACAAACAGTAATCCATTAAAAATAAAGATAGAACATTTAACCTATTACATTCTGTAGTACAGGGCTTGACAAATTTGCCTTGAATCTAGGAGCTAAAAAAGTTAGGAGTAAGTTTGTTTGGTGTTTTTTTTTGTTTGTTTTTAAACAACCCTTTTATTTTCAATAACAAATAACATATTAAACGGACACTAGAGTCACTAGAACCACTACAGCTTAATGTAGTGGTTCTTGTGTCTATTTCATGTCCCTGCAGACATTTCAATGTAAACACAGCTTTTTCAGAGAAAAGGTAGTGTTTACATTGCTGCCTAGTAACACCTCTAATGGCAGTCACTGAGACTATGTTTAGCATCTCCACTCTCAGCATAGAGGTGCTGAACATTCCCCATAGAGATGCATTGATTCAGTGCATCTCTATGAGGATGCACGAATTGGCACAACACAGCGTTTTGCCGCACGTTCGCAATATCCTCCCAATGGTTTCCTATGGCAAAGCTTTGGATTGGCTGAGATAATCAACATTAATGGCAAAACCGAAATGGCTTGAGCAAAAAAGGTGAGTAAGGGAGGGGTTCCGTCACTTAAATGGTTAGTGTAACACTATAGTGTATACATGTTTGTATTCCTGACACTATAGTGTTTCTTTAAATTTACACATAAAGAAGACACACACACTGACCATACACATTCTCTCACACACTCACAATTTATTATTTATTTTAATTTAATTCCACCTACCTACCTATTTTCCTGGGGTCCGGTGGGGCTGCTGTCATCTTCCTGCTCATCTTGCTCTTCTCCCTCTCGTGTCGTTTAGTGATGCCGGCGCCAGAGTGACATCTTATCCCAGCTCCCAATATCATGTGAGGGAGAAGAGCAGGAAGATTATAGTAACCTTGCCGTCCTCCTTGGAGATCCCTAGTCACCATGGCAACCTGGGATGTGTTGTACCCTTTCAACAAACCTTGTGGCCCAGCCAGAGCCAATATCCTTATTATATACCATAGCTGTATTAAGAGGGTTCTAGTTCAGCTGTCAGCAGAATGCAGACAGCTGTACTGCAACTCCAGAAATCTCTGTTGTGCAGCGTCCAATGATATGCATTTATTAAATGCAATGACATCACTTACAGCTGTATGACAAGCAAAAAATGAAACCCTGCAGGATGGTGAGGCAAGGCGTGGGGTGGCAGAACAAGGGGCTTTTGTGGAAATCAGTGTTTTACTATTTGAACAAACTAAGCAAACTTTGTATATCCAGCATAAATAACTGCATAAGCTACACCATTGCAGTGTGGGCTTTTAACACAGAAACAGAATGAGAGAGCAGATAAGAATCTAGTCTGCCCAATTTTCGAAATACTTAGTCCCTTATCTTAAAGTAATACTTCCTGAAATTATTTGTACATTTTTTTTTTGCCCCTCTAATTTAAAACTATGTCCTCTTGTTGTCTCGTCTTTAAGATCCTTTAACCTTTCCTGGTAAGTTTTTTTTATTTTTTATTATTATTTATTTATTAAAAAAATTTTTTATCCTGCAATCCATGAACCAGTTTAGTAAATGTTTTTCAGATATTTTCTGGTTTCCAAGTGCATCTTGGGGTTGTTACTATTACCCAATTTAAAGGGACACTATAGTCATCCAGACCACTTCAGCTCAGTGCCATGTTTACATTAGGGATTAAGCCAACCTCTAGAGGCGCATCTGTGCTACGCTGGATGCATCCATCGTGCAGAGCATCCATAGGAAAGCATTGAGAAATTTCCGGCGCTGGATAAAGGCAAGCTGCTGAACCCCCTTCAGCGCCGCAGGAGGGGGACCATGAGGGTGGGGCACCCTACTGTGGGGCACCCTCACGGAACTACAATGTCAGGAAAACCTTTCTAGGCTGCTGTTGTTTTCAATTAAGAAGGTGAGAATTTGACATTCTTGCCCCTTTAGTGTACACTGAGCAGTGCTAGGCTAAAGCTGTTAATGAGGGTATGAGACATGCGTATGGAGGAAAAACAGACCCTGGACAGTGATTTCACTTAGAAAATACATGGAGGAGCAAGGAAATGCTCATCTAAAGGGGAGTGAGGCATGAACTGACCTGGCAACGTATTGGCCTTGGCATTGAAGTATGGGATTGGTACCACTTATAATGCTGATTGCAAATGAAAACGCTGGTTATTATGACCGGACAACAGACTTGGTTTATGAAGCTCATAAATATATAAATATACCTCAGATATCTCATCCATTCATCATTTTATGCAGCATTTCAGTTTGGGATCAGTATTATAAAAGTATAAATCACATACTCCAATTCAGGCTTAATTTGCACTTGTATACAAATAAAGATATTTTTTTTTATTTTGGGGGGAGGGGGGGATGATGAGAGCATATAAGTTCCCAATCGTTGGTGATGTAGAGATACAAATGCAGGGAACATTGACAGTGATGTATTAAATATTATTGTTCACTAGAGTAGACAATAAATCTAGTCCCTCTTTGTCGTATTTCTGATCTTTCTAGTAACCATGTTCACTTTACAGGCAGTCTTTCAGCTATGCGTTTCGTCACTGCAGTTAACATGTCTCATCCAGAATTTGTAGAGCCAGTATCACGTGAGCTGTGGGTACGCATCTGGTCTGAGGTAAGTACAACGATATAGATCACAGTTTTTTCTGTTTTAATATAGATTTCATTCCAGACAAAAATGCATGTTAACCATCTGTTTCTTTGCCTACATGTGATATGTATTAAATGTATAATAAATAATGCAAAAGAAAAGGATTGTAGAGGCAATATGCTAACAAAAAGGATGGTAGAGGCACTCAAGGTTGAATAATAAACTGATTTATTGGAGAAACACCACAACGTTTCAACCTCAACAGAGGTCTTTGTCGGCTTGACAAAGATCATTGAGGTTGAAACGTTTCAGTGTTTCTCCAATAAATCAGTTTATTATTCAACCTTGAGTGCCTCTACCATCCTTTTTGTTAGCATATTGCTTCACTGAGGATGTGCCCACCTCAGGTCAAATTAAGCACCAGGGATTGTGTAAAAAAAAAAAAAGTGCAGTTATTCTTCTCTGGATACAACTAATAAAAAATGGAGGCTGGGTTTACATATGACACTGCTGGTAATCTTTGTAAACTAAACAAAAACTACTTCAATATTTGTCTCTGGGATTACTTTAGCAACTTTGGTCTTGATTTTATATTTTTGTTTAAGCTTTCCAAATAGATCTACTATTATTGGATAAACTTTTTTAAAATTATTTTTTACAATTTATTAAATTATAAATAATGTCATGTTAACATATCAAAATATTACAACATTGCAGTGTTTTTTTAATAATTTTAAATAACTTTAAAAGTTCAAAAATATTAAATTATTTGGAAAGCTTATCCAATAACATTAAATTTAGACCTTTATTAGAAAAGTGTAACTATATTGGTCTATTGATTTGTGTGTGGTTGAAATCACATTTTCATCTGCATATGATTTTCATATAGAAAAAAATCTGGCATTATATTTTTTTTTAATTCTTTCAGGACAAGGATATTACAGAACCAGAAAGTATATTAGAGGTAAGCACCTTACATGAATTTTTCCATGAAAATGAATTGAATTGCTTTCCTGTGTTTACATCTGTGCTAACAATGTAATCTTTCTATAGGCTGCCAAGAAAGCAGGGATGTCTGTAGAACTAGCAACTAAGCTTTTACAAGCCACGGACAAGCCTGAGGTGAAGAATGCACTTAAGGAAACCACAGCTGAAGCTCTGAAGCATGGGGTAAGCTGTGATAAACCAAGGGAAACTGCTCTTCATTAATGTTTATCACATTTCATGAAACCAAGACCAATACAATAAATGTTCACCTTCCTGTTCAAGGGTCACCGTGGTCCCAGTAAGCCCCCCTCCCCTCATTGTGAAATGCCTCTGAGATACATTAAATAGACACTACTATAATCAATTTTTCTTATTAAATTTGGTATAGTACCTGGATTCCTTTGGCACTGTTCCGCCATTCAGTGTTAAAGGGAAACTATAGTGCCAGGAAAACAACTTTGTTTTCCTGGCACTATAGTGCCCCCCTCTCTCGCACCTACCCCCCACTGCTGTCACTTACTTGATTCCAGCGCCGATGTCTCTCTGCGCTCCAATCAAAAACTGCAATAATTACCATTACAGGGTTAAGTGGTCTGGGTGCCATAGTGTCCCTTTAAACCATTTTCATGCAGTTTAGCACTGAATAAGGGACCCTGACCTCCTACACGCCAGCCGCCACTGGAGGTATGGCTGAGTGAGAGATTGCACTCTTCCATACTCATACCAATTCACATCAGCAATGAGTGTTGTGTTAGGCCAAAAACAGCTGACACTCGGCCAGTTACCACATCCTATTGCTGTTCTGTCTGCCCCATTGTTTGCCCTGCATAAAGCTAAATATGGACCTTGGTGCTTGTGCTGTGCCCAGGTAGGTGTCAAACTGACAGACTAGAAAACGTAAACACAAGGTTATTCGCTAAAATCAGAATGGCCCTGCACCGAACGATTCAAAATCATTTGGTTGTGTACGGGGCTAATTTGACTGCTAAATACGGACATTATTTATAAGATTTAAAAGAATGCTATAGTTAGAATTAGGAATACTAAGATGTATTCCTAACACTATAGTGTGGCACTAGCTATTAAGGTCCCTGGCCCCAAGCCCCCCTCAGAGTGGAGTAAAAAAGTCCCTGTACTTAAATTTACTGCATTTCTCAGCCAGTCCCCCTTTAGTAAGCCACTGGGCTAACCAATTTAAGCCTGTCACAGCGCCCGTTGCCATTATGAATTTAGTATTTATTTTATTAATATATATTCTAACAGAAGTTTGTTTTTCCTGCATTGTCTCAGCCAATTCAGTCCTTCAAGGGAAGCATTTAGGAGCCTACTACTGCACATCTGCACCAATTAGCATCTCTTAATGGGACAGGCTATTAACACCACTACCACTACAGTATTTGTAGTGGTTCTGGTGTTTAGTGTCCCATTAATCATAAAACAATAGTGATGCAAGAAGTGAGAATATTTTTCCTTTTTTTTTTTTTTATTGGTTTATCTGTATAATACATTTTCTCCTCTCATTTCCCTTTTTGTTTTAAAACAGGTTTTTGGTATGCCCAGCATTGTGGCCTATATCAATGGAGAGCCTCAACTTTACTTTGGATCAGATCGTTTTGAGCTTCTAGCTCATCAGCTTGGTTAGTTTCTGTCTATGCAGAATTTTATTCTAAACTCTTTTACAATCAACAGAACAGCTCATCAGCATTCTTAAAGTGGATATCATAGTATTTAATTTGCTAATCCCGAAAAACACTATAGCAGTATTTACCTGTGTGATCAATGCTGTGGCAGAAAAAAAAAAAAACTTGAATGCCTTGCATGCACACTTCTTGAGTGTTGCCATAAACACATTCATCTAACCGAGGGTAAATGTGAAAAAAAATTGTGAGATTTAAAAAGAAAAAGCACTATTCAGGTGTGCAAAAAAAACTGGTCCATTTTAAAGAGACACTGTGAGCACCAAAGCCAATGCGCTATACAAAAACACATTTTGTTTATATAAATAAAAATAGAGGTAAATTTCCTAGCCCCCAAAGCACCCCCTTCATTTGGCACATGATATGGAATTTTACCAAACCAAATAAAAAGAACAGCAATAACTATTACAACTTAACTTTTTTTTTTATTTTTTTTTTTTAATAAAAGTTAAATATGTGGGGGAGCTTAATATTAACTGTAAATCATATTGGAGTCACTTGCTAAAGTCTTGCAGGAGAATTCCTTATTTCTTAACATTAGTTAAAACTGAATGTATATCTGAGTATTGACGATGATAACCAAATTCCCTGTTGAGATATTTTGGTAGTCTGGAGAGGATATCTAAAAGTGAGGCCTATGAACCCCTTCTACCATATAGATAGTACCTTGAGGTCACCTGGGGTAACAGTACTGTCAATATAGTATTATGCAAATACACTAACCATGCATAAAGTACAGGAGAAGATGTAAAAATAAAGGGAAAATTAATTATACCACATTAGCAACACAATCTGTGCATCACTGTATAGTAAGCCAAATGCAGACAACCGATAATGATATCGTAGTACTTGTCTACAGAGGTCCCCAATCCCAAATTTTGTTCCAATTAGTGTTTTTCACGTATTACACTCAGTTAGTCACTAGGGGTCACTGCACATAATATACATCTAGGAGCAATGTTATAATGGCCCCCCAAAATTTTTTTTAACAAATAGTAAGAGAAAAAAATATATAAGACAGTCCCCCAAATGTATTTCCAAAATTAACAAAATGTCAATTCACTAAGTAAAACTGTACACCAACAATATTTTGTGCTTCGTTGCTGTTATGTCTGTTTCCTCATTATTCCTACAAGTAAAGTGAGGAAGATCTAAATGCCAGCCAAACAGGACTAAATCATAGATTGACCAAAGAATACAAAGCAATGGGAATGGTTAATTAGTCATACATTTTAGGATTATTTTTTTCTTTATGCAAAAGGGTTTCACCTTTACACTTCCAAATTATTTGCACAGGTAAGATGTGGTTTGAAAAAATAAATAGAAGATACAGCACCCTTTTTTTTTTTTTGTTAGGAGTATTTGGAGTGTAGTTTCAGATTTGTGGGAGCACTGTGAAAATTAAATAACGCCACTTTACTGACCTTTAATCTCACCACGGCCGTTGCTCCTCCCCTGGCTGAGATCATCATTGCCATAAAGGAAAGTGTGTTTGATTTTGACTGCCTCCCTCTATGTATGACTCAAACTATGTGTATGTGTGTGTATATGTATTTCAGTCTCAAACATCACTATATGTCACCATTAAACAAATAATGGAGACAGAATAGGCATCTCAATAGTGGTGGGACATTTTAAAAAAACAAACATGGAATTAAAATGAATTTGAAAAACATTTAGTTATTTAAATTATTTAGTATCATCCATTTTTTTATTTACCATTTTTTTAGAAGGTGTGTACATTCCTCTTCGACATTTGTTGTGTTGGGATAAAATCATGTTTTCCTCAGCAGTCTAGGCATTTTGAGCTGTAAGCACTACGTTCATAAAATCATTGTGTGTTTACTCTAAGCTCTTGCTCTGCTGATGTTACAGAGTGTTTGAATTAAAGTTTTCATTTTGTTTCATTTTCAGGTGAGAAATGGCTGGGACCTGTGCCTTCTAAACCACGATTGTAATTTTTTTTTTTTTGCTGCAACTAATTCTTAGAACAACCAGTGTACAGCGCTTTATGAATTCCAATAATAAAACACTACTGACATTGCCAAGTCAAATATATATATTTCTCGCGTTACTATTTTCCTATTGCAAGAATGTTTGACCAGCATTTGGGTTACTGGGATTCTCAAGCTAAACGTGCATGTTACTCGTATGATGAATATGCATTAGAACAGTTTATTATATAGTTTCATTCTTTTGTTTTTGTTCACATGCCGCTCTAGTTTTTTTTTTTTTTTTTTTACTGCAAGCATCAATTCTGTTTTTATTTTATTTTTTTGTAAGTGGCTGGTAGAAAAACCAAGTCAATTATAGACTATTTTTTTAATATTTAAAGGAACCCTCCAAGCACCATTCAATGCAAGCAGTTCCCTAGCCCCCCCATTGAAAGTAGTCAAACCCTTGTAGAACAATGCAACCTTGGGTACTCTGGGGAAATTTTTTTATTTTTTTTTTTTTAAGTTTAGGTTTTGGGTTTTTTGGTTTTTTTTTTTTTATTTATTTTTTTTATAAACATTTCAGAGCTAATCTTTTAAAACAAATAATTCTGAATTGAAACCCCAAATCGCTGTAACTTTAATAAATACATTTAATAAAACAAACAAGCTGACAAATTTCTAAATTGTAACACTAAAAAAAATAGCTAATGAAGTATATTTCTAAATTTGATCAACTCTGTGTGTCAGTTACACTTTACTCTTCTAAATATGGGTATGCCATCCTTTTTCAAGTGGTCAGCACATCCCAACACCAAAAAGAAGCTGTTAAGAAAGAGGAGAAAAAAAACAAATTCAATATGCGACCAGTGGAAACATATTAAATAATATGTAAATCCTGTTGATACATTAATCCACTTGTGAGAACTTCAAATACCTTTACTAGCTTTCCCAGTTTATCACCTGAAAATCAAGCTTAGTCTATAATTAGGGATTATTCTAGCTTCAGTGACCAAATAATCTAAATTTTTATTGAAGACAGGAAGCTTCACATTTGCTTTACTGAATCCTCCCAGCAGCAAAGAAATAGTTAAACAATTGAACAAAAAAGAACAACCATCTAGTCAATAATATATGGATATGAGACTCCTCCCAACTCCTCTTTCTTGATGCAGCCGGAGTGTGATGTCAACCGTGTAAACCAGAAACGAGAAAATTCTTCATAAAAACGTAGTCAGCCATGTAAACGAAATGTAACCGATCCAGTAGAGCAAGAACTCGAGGATGTCGTGAAGAAGACGAAAACAGCTTAACTCTAGAAAGAGAAGAGAATTTGTGAAAGTATGGTATGACTGGTAGATTCAGTCATACAAACATCTAGTACTAAAACTAATCATATATCCACGATCTGTGATGCTAACTACATATCTAAAAATACACAGATGTAAAAACATCATATAAAGAACAACTGAGAACATCCTGGAGTGTGAACACATGAGGCACGTAAATGAACCTGAATACTTGAGTATTCCTTAGTGGATGTAACCGGGGGGGCGAGTGATGCAAAAGTCAAGACGCTGCAGGGTTGAAAATTACTTGCCTCCGGCCTTTAATAAAATTTTGATTATTCAGTCACTGAAGCTAGAATAATCCCTAATTTAATGGCAAGACAGGAGGCTTCATATTTGTTGTTTTAACACCTGGAAAGTAATTGAAAACCCGGATGGGATTGAGGCTGTAAATGGAAGGTACGGACAGTTGATTCCCGTCACCAGCAGAGGCTAAAATGTCTGAAAGGGAACCCCCAGTGGAGGCAGAGGACGTGGCCGTGCCCAGCGCCAAAGGAGGCTTCAACTCCTGCAAGGCAGAGAACCCATCGAATCCAATGAGCAGTTGTGGGGCAGGACACTGGATTATGAGGACGAACATAGGACACAAAAAGAGGTCCTGATGGAGCCCAAAAGTGAGTGGTAAAGGTGACATACTGTTGTAAACAATAGGATGGTCTGTCAAGGAAATAAGGGTAAAAAACGTAAGTGGAAGGAACCTTATTGCATCGAACAATAGAGAAAAGTACGCCTTCGGGAGTGAATGCAATAGCGTGAAGGTTGATGTATGGAAAGCTCCGAGTTAGGCGGCCATGCTTCCATGAAAGACAAAACCTGTGCAACATTCCAAAATTGGGTGTATCGAGGGGCCGGAGGTCAGGAAAGATGAAAACCCAGTAGTAACCTGCAGACAGATGGGTTTTTTTCTGACAGCAACTGCATCAATTGGGCAATGAGCCGATGAAATAGAACAAAAAATGTTAATTGTATGGTAGGACTTGCCACTGTCAAAAAGAGGTGAGAGGAAATTCATAATATTCACCAGAGTCGTTAAAAAGGGATTAATATCCCTTTCCAGACACCAGCAAACCCAGAACCACCATGCAGAAAGGCATGACCTATGAGTCCCAGAGGAGACTTCTAGCAGAGCCCAAAAGTCTAAAGACATACCAGGATCCCCTGAAACAGTCCAGGCCACTAGCCGAAGATGTCCCTGGATGGAGAGAGGATGGAAGTCTCCAGAAGGATCTCGGAGGAGATCTTGAGACAGAGGCAAAAGCAAAGGAGGGTTAATCTGCGGAAATTTCTAGAAAGTTGGGATACCATGGTTGGGCCTTCCAGAGAGGAGTTATTAACAGGATCTGGACTCCCAGAACCTTGAGACGGTGAAGAGTTTGAGGAATCATTGAAAAAGGTGGGAAGAAGGCGTTTGACGATTCAGTCTGGAGGCAAAAAGGTCTAGCATGATGGGCCCGCGAAGCAGATGCAGCTGATGGAAGACACCCGGGTCTAGGTGCCAGTGACAAGAGAACCAGTCTGCCACATGGCTGTCCGATCCTGGCAGGTATTCTGCTTGAAGAGAGAGGTTCCTTCCCAGATAGAACTAGTAGAACTCTTTTGTAAGGTCCGACAGGAGCTTTGAACAAGAGCCCCCTAGATGATTGACATAACGGACTGCGGAAACATTCATCCTGAGAATTAAAGTGCAGTTGTAAGAGTCTTTGGCGAACCTGCGAATTGCAAAGGCGCCTGCCATCAGCTCGAGGTAATTGATGTACATCAAGTGTTCAGACTGTGTCCATAGGCCACCCGTGGAGCGGCCGGAGCAAGTGGCTCTCCACCCTAGAAGGCTGGCATCGGACTCGAGGAGAAAATCGGTTGGCACCTGAATATAGCTTTCCCATTCCAGGCTTCCATGTTTTGGAGACACCATTCTAATTCCAGGCGGATTTCGTCTGTAAGGAAAATCGAATGGTCGTAAGATCGGGATCTATGAAGATATCACGTCTTGAGGCGTTACATCGCCCTGTAATGTAAGGGACCAGGCAAAATTGCCTGAATGTAGGCTGACAGGAGTCCTATTATACGCGCTAAATTGCGAAGGAGAATATGTTGAGAGGGCAGTATTCTCTGAATGTCTCTTTTGATAGATTTTATCTTTGACAACGGGAGTTGAAGGATTGAAAGGACAGTCGATCTGAAAACCCAGGCAAAGGACAGTCTGCGATGGGACCAGTGCGGATTTGTTGAAACTGATTACAAAACCTAGTTTTCGAGGAGAAATTTGGTCATATCTGTATGTTCTTGAAGAGTGTGTTGGTCTTGCACCATGATTAAGATGTTGTCTAGGTAGTCGATGGATCTGATACCTTGGGACCGGAGAAGGGCCATAACTGGTTTCATGAACCTGGTGGAGGAGAGACCAAAACTGAAGCAGGTGAACTGCCAGAGATTTTGTTGTCATACGAATTGTAGGAAGGGACGGTGGGATGACCTTACCAGCACTGTAATGTAAGCATCCTTTAGATCGGAACGGGAGAACCAGTCTCCCTCACAAAGAAGGTCCCGGAGCATGTGTATGCCTTCAATTTTGATACATTATGAACTGATTCAAATTTATTAAGTTGATGATCGGGTGAAAGTAGTTTGATTTCTTCCAGATCAGGAAGATGTTGCTGATAAACCTGGGTTGGAATGGAGAGGGTTTAATTTTACCCTTGTCTCTGAGCTTGCAGAGTTCTGTATGTAGTACGGCGGTGTCCGAGTGGGACATCCTTAGAGGAGGGGGAGGAAACCCCTCTATTGGGTCGGAGGTGAAATTTATGAGGAAACCTGAAACTGTCTGAAGGATCCTGAATGAGGAGAGACCACTGTGGGAACAAACGGGTTAAGCGGCCTGCAATGGGAACTATAGAAAAAGGTAGGTGTATTACCTTAAGCAGAGCGACACCGTAGAGAAGCAGACCCCTATTCTCTGTTGGTGAAGTTATCAGTGAGAGGGACAGGTATAACCTAAGAGTTCCAAGGCTCAGATGGTCGAGGCCTGTAGCCTGTGAAGGCAGATCTGCCGGTAGTTCGGCCTCTATGGCGACTGGCTCTGACAGAAAAACGATTGGAAAGAAACGCTCTGCGGAGAGAGGTCTGTGCTTTATTTAGCGAGGTGAAAACAGAGGCATGCCTGTTGAGATCTTGCATAAACTGATCACCAAACAAGAGGCCGTTAGCCTCCGGACTGAGTTCTTTAGAACTCAAACCTGTCAATTTTATATAGGATAGACTTCCGTCTTTCAGTGGACATAGCCACGTTAGCATTTCCAAGTAAACATAGGGCTCTTTGTGCCCATTCATGTACCAAGTGTGGGTCCAAGGTACCTTCTGTGATGCCTGTGTCTGCCATGATGAAAATCTGAATAATGGGACCAGCAATGTCCATTAACTTGTCTTGGCCCGTTTCAAGGCCCTGTTCAAGACCTTTGCGGGGATCTTTACCTGACTTGCTGAGGAATGTAACTAGGAGATGATTGAATTCTGGTGTAAGCGCCACCTTATCTGGTATTGTTGGACAAGGATACTCCGCCCTCAATTTATCCCGAATTTCTTTTTAAAGGGGTTTTCGGAGCCACATTCTGCAAAATTGGGCTCTGTGGTCTGGTGGTGCCCACACAGCCGAGCGGGGATGTTTGATGATTCTAGGATCAAACAAGCATTGGCCACTAGCATCCAACAGGATGTCTGATTGATCTTTAGTTTGTGGGGGTTAACAGGGGTAGAAACTTGGCCCAGAGGCGTGTTAACAAAGGACTCCTTGACATAGGAAGTTTTGGTTTGGTCTTCAGCACAGTACACAATTTGTAGGTCCTAATGTGAAGTAGAACCCTCCATGAGATTGATTATTTGGTGGCTCGTGGAAGACAGAGACAATCTGAGGGTTTTGCCTTGCCTTTACCGGCTGAGGCACTGTTACCCTTCCAGGGATGCTTGCGCGGAGCCCCTCTGTGGTTAGGCTCATTATGAGACTCCTCCAAATCAGATATTTAGAGTAACGTGATTTTGGAACCGGGTTAGCCTGCTCATGATAAGCTGCTATAGCTTTGGGCATAGATTCTGCTATGGCAGAGAAGAGACAAGATTTGAGCTCAGCAGAAACTGCAAGGTTTTATAAAATTGATTTTTAAAAATGAAAATTAAAGTTGAGGAAAACAGGGGTCACCCTGTGATAACTGAGAATTACAGCTGCTGAGAAAAAACAGGGGGTCACCCTGTGATAATAACTGGGGGTCATCCAGATGTCTAAAGGGGTCACCCTTTGAGATCAAGCTAGGGGGTTACCCAAGTGGGGCATATGTGGGTCACCCAAGATGCAACAAGAAATGGGGGTATTTTAAGATAAGACGCAGTGGCTATCAAGCGGAAATAAACTACCACTATAGCAAAACAGGGGTCAGCCTTAGGCAGATATTGTTTGGATTTGAATATTGAAATAATTGATCTTGCAGAAAATGTATATATTTCAACAAACAAGATGTATGAACCTGATTAGGAAACCAGAAAAGAGGGAATTTTTAGAACATGTAGAAAATAAACGTATAGAAAACAGAGTACAATTGGAGAAGGGTATTAAACTTACCTATTAGGTTAATAATTAACCGCAGAAACTAAGATGTTTGAAGGAGAAGCAGGTTTGAACGGACGGATCCCTAAACTGCCGCACTAAAATGGTCGCCGGCACTAATGCGGAGGCGGGGACTGTGCGTGTCAGAGAAAAGTGCAGGACACAAAATATGAAGCCGCAAGATCTTTGCAGCAGTATGGCTCCGTAAGAGCTCAATGTAAAAACAAGCAATTAAGCCGCGGTCAGATCGCGGTCGGGGAATTCAGACAACACAGGGAACAGATCTGGGGTCTAAAGGTGTAGACAAAGGAGGCCTGTAGGCATAAGGATTTAATATCTTAAGAAAATGTAGATAAAATATATAAATAAAAGTAAGGAAACACGTTTAATGATGGGAAAAGTCCAAAAAATGAACATGAATATATATATAAACTAATGGTTAAAGGCCAGTATAATCGGAATTGACTCACATGGGAGGCAAGCAGCAAAGAAAGAGGAGTTGGGAGAGCCATATATTATTCACTAGATGTGTTTTGATTGGTTGTGCTGGGATGATTCAGTAAAGGAAGTAAAGCAAATATGAAGCCTCCGTCTTGTCATAAAATTTATATTATTATAAACTATACACACTCATTGCATCAAATCTCTAAATCCTATTGCATAAACTAGCATATTATACAGTGGTGTGTGGCCCTGAGAATCATCATGTCTTCATCATTTTGATCTGAAATTTTTTGTGGTGTCCCTATAAGCCCTTGTAATATCACAAAATATATGCATTGCATGCCTCTTTATTGAAAACTTACATCCAACAATTAATATTTTTATTGAAAATATGTGAACCCTTTTCCTCATAATAATAGCATAGTTAAAATTGTCCCCTGATTTATTGTTGCCATTTATAAATAATACATTTAATATACACAAACAAGCACTCGTCAGTAGCTGTGGACCCCTCTTATTATGGTCTATGGGGGTCTGATTTTATTCCATGACCTTCAGTCCAGCAGTTATGGGATAAGTAGTCATCCAGCAGCAGTTCCAATTAGTGTACGTGGGACTGCTATATAAGCATAGTAGCCATACCGATAAATTTACACATAGGGAGAAGAGATAGCAGCGTTTGCATGCTGCATGCAAGACATCAACAAAGTTGATATAAGCTGCTTAATTTACAGCTTTGTTGGGCTGGCTTACAACTGCAACAATTTATTACACATTGCTGTATTTGTGAGTCATTCTCAGAGCTCTGAGAAAGTGTAAGGTACTGTCTGCTACATAAATGTTGCATTCATGCAAAGTTATGATAGCGAATAGACTTCCCCTGTAGGGGGTAATTATGGTCAACTGTTCCAGTCAATGAGATGATAGTAAGGGAACTGTCCTAATACAAATACACACTTGTTACTATAAAGGTATTTTTACATCCCAATATAGGTCTTGGAATTTGACTCATGTTAAAATTAAAATAGACTTCTGAGAAAAGGAACCAAGGTGTTACATAGAACTGATAACCTGTCAAGCATTTGGGTAAAGTAAAACTGATGGTTATTGAGCAAGGAGTTAAATTATGATTTCCCTGAAGGGTTGATTCCTAAAAATGTTTTAAAAGTGAACACTTGAAGCACCACAACTACTACAATGTAATGTAGTGGTTATGGTACCATGCCACCCTCAAAGAGTACACAGTCAAACCATTTAAGAACAGTTTTACAACTTAGCCAGGTCTTCCTTGAAGCTCACAAGTGAAGCCCTGCATCTAGGTTCACGGAGCTAAGCAGATCTTTGACTAGCTAAGTGCTTTTAGACAATTAGGGCTGCCCTGTATTGAGCTTTTGCTGCAAAAAGATATCAAGAGGGTGCCCGGGAGACCCAGGTAGGTTGTCAAATGATTCAATGATTTGACTACTTGTTCTGGGAGGACACCAGGGCACTCCTAGTACCATAACCACTACAGAGGACTGTTGTGATGCTTGGAGAGTTTTTTTTAAAAGGACACTCTCTAGGCACAGTCAACATTTAATCCCATTGAATTGGTTATAGTGCCTGGGGTCTCCTAGCATTGTCCCTCCATTCAGTGTTAAACATATTTTGAGCAGGATAGCACTAAATGAGGGCCTATGGCCACCCACAGCCCAAACTCGACTAGAGGTTTAGTCAAGACCGAGATTACACAACCTCCTTCTAGCTATACCCATTCATGCCAGCAACTGTGGCTAAAAGTAGTAATTTGGCACTCTCAGCCAACCACCGTTTCTTCATTAAATAAAGCCCATCAAACACTAATAACTGATTTAATGGAAAATCAATTAAGTACCCCTTACCAATGGTGATTCAGTAAGATATCAATCATGAGTCGTAAGGCAAAAGGCACTGAAATTGGCAGGTGTCTTAAATGAGTACAGATATCTGGAATGGGTAGATGGGTCTAAAGTGTGCAGAAGTAAGCAGTATGGTATGAAATACATGTAACTACAGCACATAGCACAAGGAATGAAACCACAAGATGTGCCTTAAACAAGGTGATTATCACTAGTAATAAAATAGTAATGCCAGTATCTGAACTAAAATGATCATTACAAGTAGATTGAACATCATACTAAGTATACAAAATCTCTCTCTGCAATGTATATTTTGTTATTTTTGCTTCTATGCCTCTTATGTATATATAAATAAAACAAATCTAGTGGCTTTAAAAGTTGGTGTATGACAAAGCACTGAGAGGCATGGCACATACCAGTTATCTGTAGATAATAAAAATGATTCACGGGACATCATGTGCACTATAATTAGCAAAAGTCAGTTGTTCCTAGAATGTACTGCATTGGTCTTAGGGGGATATGACAGCGTCTCCAGCTAGGAAAAGTAGGAATTCAAACGCTCTGTCTCTTTAAGGGGGTAAAGGGGAGGAGGGAGTGATGGTCACCATACATATAAAAGGTCTTGCAAAGCAATTTTAAGTCAGTAAGATCAGTGACAAAACCAAGAACAAGAACGATCGAGGCTTGAGATCCCTCGAAATACCATCTGCAGCCCTTGCTGCCTCTCCCCCCTTCTCTCCCAAAATATTTTAGCAGGGAAAAGGAGAAATAAACCAATATCTCAGCCATGAGTGACGCAACAGCTGAGGAACCAAAGCCCAAAACTCCTGGAACCGATCCAAGCACTGCTCCCCCTGTTCCAAGTGAAGTAGAGAGAAAAGTATTGGGTGAGTTAAAAGCACGTGGAGCGCAACTCATCTCAAACGAAAACAGCATTTTCTAAAACATTTGTCAATTTCATGCTGACTAACTGTTCTTTTTTTGGTGTCGTATCATCCTGCTCAGGAATCTAGTCATGTTCTATTTTAGTTTCTGCTGATTTCTACATGTGTTCTTCTACTCACTGTCTTCGTTTTTAATTCCAAACATGTATCTTAATGTGTTAACAATTGCCACGATGATTGTGGCACTTGCTTTGATTGATGTTCTATTTTTCTTCACTGGGGTTTATTCTCCAAACAGTGACTTGTGATTGTGTGACAACAAATTGTTCAATTTTGAATACTATCCAAATAGGGGAACAAAATTACTCCAAGTAAGCGTGTAAGTCTCCCTTTGGAAGTTTTTTTGTTTGCCAACCATTACATGAGTAACTCCTACAGTTTAGATTATTAAGGACGTTTGAGTGCTTGAGTTTGTCCGGAAGAATTCCTGCACTAAACTTGCAATTCAAATTGTTAATTCTATGTTTACCAGGAGTTAGGCAAACACCCTTATATCACAACTGTAAAGGTAAGTAATTTGATATAAAGAGCTAATGTTCTACGTTATTTATAAACCACCAGTAACCTATATGAAACAAATCTAGTAACCTATGGGGAATGTTTTTAGATTTTTTTTTAAATAACATCATTATTCTAAAAATAAAAGCTATAAAGAAATTTAAATGGACCTAATATACAATATTTTAAAATAAAATATTGAATTAATGGGAAACTATAGTGCCAGGAAAACAACGTTATTTTACTGGCATTATAGCTCACTATAGTGCCCCCCTTGGTGCAGAAGGGGTTACAAACCCCATCTGTCACTTACCTGAATCCAGCACCAATGTTAGCCGCTGGGCGAGACCTAATGCGCATGTGCGGCATCCAGCGTCACCCGAACCCCTATAGGAAAGCATTGTATAATGATTTCCTATTAGGGAGGTCGCATTAAAGATGAAATCTAAAGACTCGTTTGTCTTATGGTAAATCTGAGGTTGACAAAAGACCTGGCCACTCTGCTGTTTACTTTTGTTTTAATCTCAGCAGCTGTCACAATTAACGTCTGTGAATTCATTCATTGATCTATGGAGGCTGACCGGGGATCCTCCATAAAGCTCGGTGATGTACTCTAGTGCATGGGTAAGAGTACAGCTTTGACACTGCTCCTGAAAATAAAACCAGGAGATGAGGAGGATGCAAATTGTATACCATGATGTGGGTAATTTGTAATCCTGGGCTGCCACATGGTCTCAAATGCAACATAAGCCAAGCAAACCAACCTGGCAAAGTTCAATGTGTAAAAAATGAAATGGGCAAGCACTATATTTGACCCTATAACTTTCAAAAACCCCATCAAAACTGTACATGGGGGCATCGTTGCACTTATTGGACAGAATTTGGAAAATAAACTTTCTTAATTTCCCACAGTTTTTTTTTTACTCATATTAAATTATGTTTATTATGCAAATATTTGATGTGAAATAAAAACCCTATTTCTGCTAAACAAATTATATATAATAAATGTGGATGCACTTAAAGGGATACTAGAGTTCCAGGAATACAAAGCTGTATTCCTGCACTATCTCTCCCCTCCCACCCACCCCCAGTAAACAAAGGGTTGAAAACCATTTATTTACTTACCTTTTCCCAGCGCCGATTTCCGTTCCCCCCCCGAATCCTGCGACGAGCCCATTTGCCATGCATGCGCATTAGACCGCATTAGAAAAATCTGACGCTGGAGGTTCTCATGCAGAGCATGAGGACGTCCAGCATCAGATACCGGATCAAAGTTCCGTTATAATTCAGGAAGCACTCTAGTAAATATTGCAGTTTCTCTGGAGCTGCAATGTTTAACATTGCAGCACTAAGTGCAAGAGGGACACTGCACCCAGACTAATTCAGTGAGGTGAAGTGGTCTGGGTGCCTACAGTGTCCCTTTAAGATGAAGAAAGTCAATGATGGTTAAACAGACATAGACAAACAATAGACAGGAATATCAGGAGGAGTAGAAAATAATATGTAGTAGGAGTTGGAGCCCAAAGTGGGCTTTAAAAAAGATAGAATAGATAATTGTACCTCAAAAAGTGAAAATCCACCCTAGGGTGGAGTCCATTAAAACTTAACTTTTAATAAATATAATACAATACAGTAACTAAAACCTAACACCCAAAACTATGTGCACTATATACAATTAATACAAAACAGCATAGGAAGATCTGGAGTTGGAAGATTATCTTCTAAACAGTGCCTTGTGGCAGCAGTTAGGCTCACTCCAAATCCAAGTATGATAACTGATACCTGATGTCTCAATGGACCATCCTCGTATGATATAATAGCTTGGTTAGAAGGAGAGTCGTAACGTTGGCATCGGAGCCTAAAGACTCGGTGGGAGGGAAGATACCTTATGGTAGAACTGTGCCTTCGAGGGCCCCCCTTAAACAAAAAACCTGAACTCCACTGTATGGAAAAGATACCACCCACCTCGACTACCTAATCGCTACATTAAAGTAAGATTAGATATAAAGCCTATCGAATTACAATGGGTGATCGGAGACTTTAAGATAGACGCACCGAGGCTTGGTTGGTATATGACTGCTCATATTCAAATGGTTGACATGTAGATGAAGAACATACAGAAATCAGTCTGTGTATATAAGATACATTGTTCTTGTTCTAAAGTATGTTTTAGTTGCATAATGTCCTATTATTAAGTCACCTAAAAGTTCTCATAAACCTGTTATAAAGTAATATGGTAAACACACATAGAAATTGAATTAACCAGGGAACTGCATATTGTAGGCAAAGATAGCTACCTAGGAAATATTGCCATAAACATGGCACCAGTAATGGGACAATGGATTCTCAGAACAGCAGAAAATTAAATACCGGCTCACTATGTTGAAAGCAGGACACACCAAATAGCAGCATGGGAACACAATATACTCTGGGGATTTGGAGGCTGATCACAAAGTATGTCTGAGGCTATAACTCAGTGGTACATGAGACAGGCTAGATAACCAGCCTCTTCTTCCTCAGTCTTACAAAGCTATAGTAACGTGCCGTGTTCACACACTTTCTCCACCTGTTGGATTATATCAAGCATGAATGATATTCAGAGACTGCTTTTCGTGCAGGGGAGCAGCACAACAAAGTCTGTTGCTTCTCCTATAGCCATCACTCTCACTTGCATGTCCTTGTATAAGACACCCTATATACCAGCTATTTCTTGCTGATCATTCTCCCTTCAGGGAAAGTAGCAAAGGGCAATCTACCTTATAACCCCAGCTGCCATAGGAACCACAATGTTACCTGTCAGTTAAAGGAACACTACAGTGTCAGGAACACAAACATATTCATGACATTATAGTGGTAAAATAATCCCCGGCCCCCTCTCTTTGTCGTAAAAATGTGAGTTTCCTCACCTTTTCTCCCACACTATGTCGGCCTGGCCCTACCTTCCTCCGCCTCCATGGTTAACATCATAAAACGATGATCTCAGCCAATCCAATGTTTTCCCGTAGGAAAGCATTGTGAGGCTATTACGCATAACGCCACACTGCTCCAATCAGCATCTCCTCATAGAGATGTATTGAATCAATGCATAACTATGAAGAATGTTCAGTGTCTCCATACAGAACTATAGTTGTTCTGTTGACTATAGTGTCCCTTTAAAGGTGGTTTAGTACAAAATGAATGACCCTGCATAACAGTTGAAATATTTCTTATTACAGCATGGCATTACTACGGTTATTTTCGTGGTATCAATGCTGTATTTTATCTTTAATGTTATTTCACTTTGAGCGTTGGATATGACGAGATATGATTGTAAGCAGTTCTACTTATTTTGCCTTTAGCTACCAAAGTCCAAGGAACTGTGAAATGGTTCAACGTGAGAAATGGCTATGGATTCATAAACCGGTAAGTCTTTATATGGCCATACTTTACAAGTTGCACGGTGAATTTTCTAAGCCTTTTTATATTTGTTCTAAATATATATTTACTCTCTTGTTAAAACATCACAAATAAGGGGTTTTTAATACACATACAGGGAGTGCAGAATTATTAGGCAAGTTGTATTTTTGAGGATTAATTTTATTATTGAACAACAACCATGTTCTCAATGAACCCAAAAAACTCATTAATATCAAAGCTGAATATTTTTGGAAGTAGTTTTTAGTTTTGTTTTAGTTTTAGCTATGTTAGGGGGATATCTGTGTGTGCAGGTGACTATTACTGTGCATAATTATTAGGCAACAACAAAAAACAAATATATACCCATTTCAATTATTTATTATTACCAGTGAAACCAATATAACATCTCAACATTCACAAATATACATTTCTGACATTCAAAAACAAAACAAAAACAAATCAGTGACCAATATAGCCACCTTTCTTTGCAGGACACTCAAAAGCCTGCCATCCATGGATTCTGTCAGTGTTTTGATCTGTTCACCATCAACATTGCGTGCAGCAGCAACCACAGCCTCCCAGACACTGTTCAGAGAGGTGTACTGTTTTCCCTCCTTGTAAATCTCACATTTGATGATGGACCACAGGTTCTCAATGGGGTTCAGATCAGGTGAACAAGGAGGCCATGTCATTAGATTTTCTTCTTTTATACCCTTTTTTGCCAGCCACGCTGTGGAGTACTTGGACGCGTGTGATGGAGCATTGTCCTGCATGAAAATCATGTTTTTCTTGAAGGATGCAGACTTCTTCCTGTACCACTGCTTGAAGAAGGTGTCTTCCAGGAACTGGCAGTAGGACTGGGAGTTGAGCTTGACTCCATCCTCAACCCGAAAAGGCCCCACAAGCTCATCTTTGATGATGCCAGCCCAAACCAGTACTCCACCTCCACCTTGCTGGTGTCTGAGTCGGACTGGAGCTCTCTGCCCTTTACCAATCCAGCCACGGGCCCATCCATCTGGCCCATCAAGACTCACTCTCATTTCATCAGTCCATAAAACCTTAGAAAAATTAGTCTTGAGATATTTCTTGGCCCAGTCTTGACGTTTCAGCTTGTGTGTCTTGTTCAGTGGTGGTCGCCTTTCAATCTTTCTTACCTTGGCCATGTCTCTGAGTATTGCACACTTTGTGCTTTTGGGCACTCCAGTGATGTTGCAGCTCTGAAATATGGCCAAACTGGTGGCAAGTGGCATCGTGGCAGCTGCACGCTTGACTTTCTCAGTTCATGGGCAGTTATTTTGCGCCTTGGTTTTTCCACACGCTTCTTGCGACCCTGTTGACTATTTTGAATGAAACGCTTGATTGTTCGATGATCATGCTTCAGAAGCTTTGCAATTTTAAGAGTGCTGCATCCCTCTGCAAGATATCTCACTATTTTTGACTTTTCTGAACCTGTCAAGTCCTTCTTTTGACCCATTTTGCCAAAGGAAAGGAAGTTGCCTAATAATTATGCACACCTGATATAGGGTGTTGATGTCATTAGACCACACCCCTTCTCATTACAGAGATGCACATCACCTAATATGCTTAATTGGTAGTAGGCTTTCGAGCCTATACAGCTTGGAGTAAGACAACATGCATAAAGAGGATGATGTGGTCAAAATACTCATTTGCCTAATAATTCTGCACTCCCTGTATATTTCCTTTTCACGAGTACGGTTTAGCAACAAATTAGCAATAAGTTGCAACTACATATTCTACAAGGACACATAACTATAGGTGTCCATACATAATCATTTTGGGGCTTTCCATTCCTGTTAAAAAAAGGCATTTGTCTCTCACCATTACAATCCATTCTGAGAAAAATTATTTTAAGGGGAGATCTATCAGTGCTACGGACTATGCTGGCGCTATACAAATCATTTTTGCTGCTGACTTCAGCTTCAGGCAGACCCCTTCCGCAATAGAAAGAGGCTCCTATAGGAAGAGTTTAATTCTGATGGTCTGATCTTTATTTCATAAACCTCTCTCCAACAGAGGTTTATGAGAAAATTAGTTCTCAAGCAGCAGTTTTACTTATCACACAGGAAGAGTGGAACTGCTTTATAAGCGGACAGCAGAATAATGCGGCTGCTACTATTTTATAAACAGTACAGTTTGTAGTTTTGTCAACTAAGCTTTGTGTAGCCCTCATCAGAGCCATGTGGTCGCACCTAAGTTCAATCTCTAAGGAGGAGAGAGAGATCAGTTCTACTTGAGTGTGCACATATCACATGCACAAGTTGGATTACATTGATATTTAGAAGCCTGGAGTGGCAAATTTGGTCTGTCTTGTAGAGGTTTTTACAAAATGCTACAGTTTTAAGCTACTCTCATAGATGACAATGTGGCAGGGTGGTCTGTAAAGTAATGTGTTGTGGTACTTGGTAAAATTAAACAAATGTGTTGTTTTTTTTCCCCATCCTATTCCTTTCGTATTTCTCAGGCACCACAACTGTACCTCTTAAAGGCACACTATAGGCACCTAAATCACTTTAACTCATTGAAGTGGTCTGGGTGCCGTGTCCCTGTAATTGTAACTGTTCAGGAGGTCATCCTTTGCAGGGGGTTCTTAAAGGAACACTATAGTCACCTAAATTACTTTAGCTAAATAAAGCAGTTGTAGTGTATAGTTCATTCCCCTGCAATTTCACTGCTCAATTCACTGTCATTTAGTTGTTATGTTATACAGTCCACATACAGTAAATACTGGTTCCTGCCAGAAATCATATATCTGTATATCATGCAATATAATAGGTTATTATTGCAGCCTACACTCATGCCCAGATGTGCGTTTATGGCCCTATATCATCCATGTCTTTTGTATTCTGTTCAGGAATGAATAATTGAGTTAATAATTCTTCATTAACAACAGAAAAAGACTATTAATTTTACATTGCGTGGGTCTGACTATTCTATTTCTTTGTTTGTTTACATGCACCCTCTTGTTATCATTTTAGGAATGACACCAAAGAAGATGTGTTTGTACACCAGGTGAGTGAATTAACAGGGTTGCAAGTTGATCCATTGCACGGACATATTTATTTCAATGTTTAATGATATAAACATAGAACTCTTTGGGGTGTTCAGTATCGTTTTAACTTTATGTTTTTAGAACATTATAAATTTGGGAGATACTTGCAATGTATCTGTAAAACAAAGTAAACCATCAAACAAAAAAAACAAAAAAGTATGCAAACTATAAAAAAACAGTATGGCGACCATGCAAGCACCAGGTGCACTATGGTTAAGGAAATGATTGATTTATCATTCCTGGCATAAAATATTCCCTGCCACTTCTTGCTGCACATCCAAAGGTATTAGAAACGATCAACTAAAATAGAAAACTCATCACTAGCCAGATCTGTCGGACTGTAACTTGAGAGGGGAACTTACACTGACCCGTGAAAGAAGTCATTTTTTGGGTTAACGGAACACACGGGTTATGCTTGCATAATAAAAGCATGTTTCCTAAACAGTGAGGAAACACAGAACACTCTTCAGTCACATTTCATTCTAATAAAGGAATATTAAAATTCAAACTGCCTACTTCAGGGGAACATTAGCTGGAAAGTTGACATATTTCGCTGTATGGAGTGGAGTGAAAGGAAACATAGAGCTGTTGGATAAACTCCAAAGTGTGTTTAGCATTCTGTGCCTTGAATGGCATTGTGCCTGCCTACCACTGCTGCTGTCCTATGATCATGTTCAACACCTGTCCCCATCTCACACACTGTCTAACATTGCAGATCTGCTGATCAAGTGAAGCTTGTGGCTTTAACTGAAGTGAGACTATAGCATAGTGCTGATAACATGTAATGAATGCCAGTATAACATAAGTAATACGCAGAGGTTATAGCCATTTTATAATAAAAGAAATTCTATAATTTTATTGATTTTTATGGTATAATTAAAAAAAAAAATACAGTGAATCTGCATAATTACCCACGCATAAATGGTCATAAATGAAAATCCAAAAAGGAAAGAGAAACAGGTGGAGGGAAAAAGAAGCCTTAATAGCCTAATTTTGAGGATATTATTTATGGAGTAAAATAGCAATTGGTTTAAATGTACTGATATTTGTAACAGTGCATTAAAAACTCCTGCTGGTTGAATGGAAGCTGGATGACATTCCGCTTCTACAGAGCACACAAGACAGAGGTCAATGTTACCATTCATTCATTCATTCATTCAATGCTTTTAGACAATGAATGAGCACCTGTGCAAAAAATATGGACACAGTTAACATTAGCCAGCCCTTGTTCCTCACTAGCTATGAAAAGGTTGCCTTTCTCTGCTCTAGGTGCTGTCATGCATTTTTTTTACATTGCTGTATTTCTCATTTGCCATATAATTTCTGTAAATCTTCAATGTGTCAATAAGAGTAAAGCCATCATTGTTTTGTGTACATTCAGCTTTATCACATTCTGGGGTGATTTATGAAAGTGTTCTGTTCTAAAAATGTGATCTTAAAGGCAGACAGCTCACTTTATCTCATTGAAACGTCTGGGTGCAATGTCCCTGTCCACCCTAGCCCTGCAATGTAAAACAATGTAGTGCTTTGCATGAGTACTTTCAGCGTCTGGAAATCCACCATAGGAAAGCATTGAGTCAATGCTTTCCAATGGGGCAGGCCTGAGCGCGCAGCTCGCTAAGCATGCGCACGCACTAGGTTGCCTCTCATTGTTGACGTCAGAGGAGGTAAAGTCAGAGCCAGCGCCAAGGGACTTTAGTGTTGGATAAAGGTGAGTGAAAAAAAGGTTTATTTAACCCTTTCAGTGCTGCAGGGGTGGTGTGGGGGACTGCGAGGGAGGGGAGGCATAGAAATACTTTAGTGTTAGGAATACAGTTTTGTAGTCTTACAACTAAATATTAACATGCTTTGTATTTGCCATGCTGTGATCTTTTTATTGGCAGACAGCGATAAAAAAAAACAATCCACGCAAATACCTGCGGAGCGTAGGGGATGGAGAGGTGGTGGAGTTTGACGTAGTTGCTGGGGAAAAGGTAAGAAGCCATATCACCATTTTCTACCTAATATCAATTTTGATCTCCTTTCGAAGTATAATGGTTTCAAACAGGAAGTTCATATTACAGTACTTAGGGAGATTAATCTCTTAAATGAACACTCGAGGCACTATAACAAATTTAAACCGTTTTTGAACAGTAAGATTCCAAACCTAGGTTCTTACTCCCCATTCACAAAGTAGAGTAAAAAAAGAACGTATATATTTGTCTCACTCCATTTTGTCAATTGAGAGCTAATGATAGATTGAAAGTATCAGCTGACGTTTTCAAACTATCAGTGATTTCCAGTCTGAGGCTTCCTGACTCAAGGTCTCAGACAACAGTCGCTGGGTAGAGCTGACAGGCATCGGATTCAAGACTTTGGGGTTAAACTATTTGTTAACTGTTTAAACATCTTTGTTCCAATTAAGTTGTTATGGTGCCTGGAGTGATCCCTCAAGCAAAAATAAAATTAATGCTAATTCAGTTCAGCTATAGATCTTTTTCACAATTTTAATTTTGGTCTAACGTTTTCAAGACTCTTGTCAACTCATCTCAACTTTCAATTTAGTGAATGAATAGAATTAAACCTGGTTTGTTAATTATGGAAGGAAGATGTACTTAAATTTGTTATGTTGCTATAATGAAAACATCCAATTTCAAATTTCATATTAATTTTCTATATCCTGTTATGGGTGTAACATTATTATTAATGTAAGGTAACCAGACCATATTCTTTTTCAAACGTGACTTGTAGTCACAATATTAATATTGGCACATGTGGATGAGGAATAGTATGTCATTTTTTTTCATAAGAGGCTTATCAAGATTATTTACTAAAGTGAAAATTGTGGGTAATTCACAATTGCTGAACTGGAATAATAGCGGACTTGGAGAATTCAGCTATTTTGGCCTTCAATTTTATATTTAATTTTGAAATCTCACAATTCCCACTTCAGTATAGAACCCTGTATAAGCATGAATAAGTAATATTCTTAACTAAAACCTTTGTTTTCAGGGTGCTGAAGCGGCTAATGTGACTGGCCCAAAAGGTGCACCAGTCGAAGGTAGTCGTTATGCTGCAGACCGACGCAGATATCGCCGTGGTTACTATGGGCGCAGGAGAGGACTACCAAGGGAGGTAAGTAAGAGTTAGTGAATTCCAGCACATATTTTATCTTGGCTGTTTTTTTTTTTTTATTGTACTGCATTGATTGTTATTTTAATATTGTGGTCCCTGAGGAAGTCCAATACTTTATAGAAGGGACGAAACGCGTACGACCTCTATTTGTATTTATTTTATATTTTTATACAATAAAAAGCCGCTTTTTTCATACCTTGACCCGGAGTCCTGCATTTTGAGTGGAAGTGTCCAGGGGATTCCCCCAGCCCCCCATATCATCAGGGGTGGCACCATATATGCCTGAACTGTCCAAGATCCTGTGAGTGCATTTCATATTGCGCAGTGTTAATATTGTAAAACTGTATTACACTATACCTCTTTTTATTTATACATATTTTATCTTACATGGAGCTCAATAGCTTTGACAGTTCATGCTTCTAATTTTGACGTAATTTTTTTCGTAATCAATAATTTAGATGCATAGAATCTTCATAGGCCCAAGCTATTAATATACTGACACATGCATACACTTAAAAAAAAAAAAGTAAAAAAAGGATATCTAAGAAAAGTCTCATTATATTTTTTTTCAGTGTGTGAAAGACACTGGGGTTAGGATGGATCTTGCAGAACAATACTTGGGGGAAATGACTATAGTTGACCACTTGGGATATCTGCAAACCTAGAGCAATCAGCCAAAAAAACAGACTTGTGCAGTTTGTTTTGGAATAAGTCAAATTTAATCTGAGATTTGGTTGATTCTGAAGCATCTGAATTTCCAAATTGCTGCAACATAAAACCAATATTAATGGTTTTATATCTAATCATATTAATTTGGATCCATTTGTTTTGATAAAGACAGCAAATTAAGGAGTTATCTACTAAACATGGAGGAGAGCAAAATAAAGGATAAGGGTTTCTTAATTTTGATCTTTCCATTGTTTAGCAGACAGCTCATTAATTTTGGTTCCTTAAATCTCACTTTCCGACATAAGGTAAGAAAATTAGGGAGCTCTCTATTAGACTGCTGAAAGATCAAAATTAAGAATAGGGCTTTTCTTAAGATTGATCTCTCAGTAGTTTAGCAGATAACTCCCTAAATTGGTACTTTGCAATTTTGTGACTGTCACCTTCATTCATTTCATACAGACAACAAGGGTCCGAATTTCAAAAATGAACAATATTTTCAGATGAATATCAGTTCATCCAAAAAATATTTTCCAAATTTCGGAGAAACCAAGATTCAAAAAACGACGAATGGATACAATGGCCCTACAAAAATATGACTCCTGGGGGTTTCTGGGGGGAAAAAATATTTTTTTGCTACAATTCTTTTCAGAATAGTTTTAACAAACAAAACGGAATTAAAAAATAAATTTTACAGTATAAGGATAGAACACTCAGAATGTCCATACAATGACAATGGGATATCTGAATACATGTTCCAGTTTGACATAAAGGAACAGCTACCATCAATCAACAAAAACTATGTATGTGTGATAGTGACAGTTCCACTATTTTAACTCTCTCCAGTCTTGCCTTGTTAGTTAAGTGTAGGAGGAGACTAGACCAGAACAGCTGCTCCTGTTCAAAGTCTAAATTTGGCTTCAGAATTTCATACTCTGTGAGAGAGAGACAGATGCCGGGGATTATAAAAAAAAAGGAGGAGACTTCAAGTAAGATGAACAGCTCAAATGACAAGATCACATAAAGTAGACCAAGATCTAATAATGACTCGTCAAGTTTTAAAGACTGGGCAGTATAAGATGATGCATTTAACATTTCCATAAACAGTTTTATATCTGTTTTTTTTCTTACATACAAATGGAGAGCCTGCATATTGCATGATGACATTTGTAAAGAAATATTGTTTAAAATAGCATCACAAAATAAATATTTACATATATAAGAAATGGATGGAGGACAAAGATGCCTAAGGATCCAAAACAAAATAAATTAATCAGAGGATGGCCAGTGACCCATTTACTTACCCCAAATAAAAGTGATGGTCTAGAGCAGGTATAGGCAACCTTCGGCACTCCAGATATTGTGGACTACATCCCTCGTAATGCTCTTACACCATTAAGGCTGGCAAAGCATCATGGAAGGTGTAGTCCAAAACATCTGGAGTGCCGAAGGTTGCCTATGTCTAGTCTAGAGAGTACAAAGTACTTGTTATTTGTGGCATCTCATTTCCACCCGTCTACCAAGGCATTGGCGAACGTGATAAATGTTTAGGGCTTTTGTTCCCCCACAAATCTACATATTTCAATTTATCAAAATTCTGCAGTTTGTTACTATTAAGGTGCTTTATTAGAACTATATCATGACTCTTGTTTGATGAAAATACCATATTAAACAAATGTTAGACATGTTTTACTACTTTATGAAGATACACAACAATTGAAATGATAACAGGCCAACTTTGATATATTTTAAAAATGGCTACATTAAAGGAACACTATAGGGTCAGGAACCCAAACATGTATTCCTGACCCTATACTGTTAAAATCACTATCTAGCCCCCCTGGCCCACCCTTACACTCCTAAATATAGTAACATTTTACCTTTATTCTAGTCTGCTGGTGTTGGCTCTGCCCCTGATCTGTCTCTTTGGCTGGCATCATAGAAAGTGATGATTTCAGCCAAAAACAATGCTTTCCCAAAGGAAAGCATTGGATTGGCTGAGATTGTCAATTCTGATGATCTCAGCCAAGGACGGGCTGGGGGGAGAGCCAAATGCCACCCTGGCCAATCAGCATCTCCCCATAGAGATGCATTGAAGCAGTGCATCTCTATGATAAAAGCTCAGTGTCTCCATACGATTTGTTAATTAAAGTAATATTTAACCACTAAACCTAATCAGAGCACCTGCTTACTACATGTCATTAATACCAGCTGCCAAAATACACTAAAATGCAAGACTGGGCAGCTTGCAAGCACACTCAAATGCAGTTTAACATACAGTGTACACTATCAACTTGTTTGTGGATCTAAAAGTGTTAATTTCTGAAATTATATTTTGCTACAGAGAGAAGGTGAAGTGAAAGAAGGATTACCCGAAGCTGTTCAAACCCAGCAACCCATGCGTCAGTCGGCTAACTACCGTCCAAGATACCGCCGGTAGGTGTCTGTCTGTAGAAAATCCAATGCACATGAGCATGTCATTATATAGGTCCCTGTCCACAATATAATTTCATAATCATCATATTAATTGTTTCCCTATTCAAAATGTGTTTATTACCGACACTTTATTGGTTGATATAGATTTTTATGGTATTATAGTTTTTTTAAGTATAAATATATTAAGTATTATTTTTGAGATTCAGCTCACTTTTTGTATCACATACATCAGTGTTGTCCAGCATTTTGCCATAGATGGCCGCATACCATTCTAAACTTTAGGTTAGGAGTTTGCAAAATAGTCAGGACCTAAAATTAAGACCTCATTAATATCAAACTGCTGAAAGCCTTCTTTAGGGCAAATGAGACCCTACAGACACTAGGAAGAGTAGAATTATTATTATTTTGTTTTATACATGTTGTATATATTTCATAAAATTGGCAGAATGGGCCACAGATGTAATTTTTTAATTGAGGAATGAGTTGGCAATCTAATGACTTTCACATAATTTGGCCAGTATGAAAAATAGTTTTTTTAAATGCAGATTGGTAAAAAGATATATGGACCACAAGTCACACCTAATAAAAACTATGCCATTATAGAGAGGATACTGAATGTAAAAAAACATATGTATAGCATCATAATACTTATTTTGTACTCCTTCTTGGGGTAGACCTATGAATCAAACCAGACCACTTCCACCAACTGGTGAGATTGAGAACAAGGAAAACCAGTTTGAGTCAGTGGCTCCAGACCAGCAACAAAATCGCCGTGGCTTCAGAAGACCATACAACTACCGGCGTCGACCCAACCAACCAAGTGGTCCACCACAGGGGAACAAGGAGTCAACCAAGGTAATGTCTGCACACATTATGAGTAACTATTAGTAGTAGTAATATAGTTTTGGGACAACTTTAACATAACTGGCAGACAGTCCCATATTGTTTGTGAGCAGTACGAACTAAATATGAATATAGTAAACACAAATAGGCAGCAATAACAGCTTCAATTTGTACTGCTGTTAGAAGCACACATATTGAGAGAAAGATAAAACAGACTCACTTGAAACCAAGAACAGAAGATAAACAATACAAAGTTATCATAAAAGGAAAGTAAAACACAATGCAAATAAATGAAAATAAACCAGGCAGATACAGTGAAAAGCACAAGCCAGGGGTATTATTATTATTGTTATTGGCATTTATATAGTGCCAACAAATCCCATAGTGCTTTACAATAGTACAACAGGGGGAGGTTTAACAATAAATGAGACAATTACAAAAACTTACAGGAACAATAGGTTGAAGAGGACCCTGATCAAACGAGCTTACAGTCTAGAGTTCTATGAAAAAGAAAACTTTTTTTTTTTTACTGAAAATATATTAACGTTTACCTCAAAGCTACACGTGTGACTTGTATATTAGCTATTCGAGTTGGAATAACATGGCTTTTCTATGCTTTGTAGTTGGCTGAAACCCCAGCAGAGAAGCCTGTGCCAGTGGGTGAGAAAAGCAATGCTGTGTAATCTGAGTGACCTGGTCTTCCATCATGTAAGTGAGACAATCGGCTACAATTACAAAAACTGAAGTTGTTCTGTGCCTTTGTCCAATTAATTTCAGGACCAGACAGTTCAGGGACTGCTAAACAACTGAGATGATGATCAATCGCTTAACCAGAACACAATAGCTTGGAAACTGAGAGTAGTTAAAAATGTCTGGCCACCGATTTTAACGTATTACTAGTCTTTATATCTGTCCCTATGTTTTCAGACTCTCCATATAATATATTTTTTATCTGTTATTTATATAGCAGCCATATATTCAGCAGTGCTGTACAATAGAGGGAATACAGACAAATAGTAAACATATACTGATACAAAGGGAACAAAGGATCTTGCATGTGAGCTCACACTCAAAAACAGTAACATTTATACAAAATGCTTAGCAAGATCATTTGTGAGCTTACATTCTGAAGCATATAGGTCAAATTGAAGAGGTTTCTACGAGCCCGTTAAATTTTTATTATAAATGTAATATGCTTCTTCCACATCCTTTCCATAATATATATATATATATATATATATATAAAATAGATACAGATATTTGCCCCCACATATGTAGTTTCAAATATAGTACATATTATTAAGTGACACCAGTTCATTAACGTCACACGAGTTATAAGAGTTATTATTCTATAGAGGGGCAAAGGTTTAAAAATATGAAATAATATCAGGAAGTATTACTTTACTGAGAGGGTAGTGGATGCATGGAATAGCCTTTCAGCTGAAGTGGTAGAGGTTAACACAGTGAGGGAGTTTAAGCATGTATGAGATAGGCATAACGCTATCCTAGACTTAAGATAAGGCCAGGGACTAATTAAAAGTATTTTGAAATATTGGGCAGACTAGATGGGCCGAATGGTTCTTATCTGCCGTCACATTCTATGTTTCTATGTTTATCTTTTTATTTTTGTATATTTAATTTTTTTAAAAATCTGTATATTTATGGCCTCTGTAAGAAGTATTGCTATATAGGGTTTTTTAAATAGCAAGCAGAATAGTATATACAACCAAATTGTTTTCAGCTGTCTGAAATGGCAATTTATGAATAAAGTAGTGTTTAAAATGTCTTACTGTTAGATTGATTAAATCCATCTTGGGGCTTGCATTAGAATGTCACTGTAGAAGAGAGGTATCATACTATCATAGTAAAAGTAGATTTGCCTTGGCTGTAATTTTTCACAAGGCAGGAACACATAAATTCTGCATTCCGTCAGGCAAAACATAAATGCAGCCTATGGAGATTCAGCAGAGATCCCTCATAAAAAGGCAACATTTCAACTAAGATCAAGCCATGCACTCGTTTGAAACGTAGCTATTTAATGATGTTAAAATAAAGGCATAACAGCTTCGCTAAGATAAGGTGTACTGGATCTTTTGACGTTAGTATCAGTGATATTGCCAGTCATTTGAGTGGGACTGGAGATCTGTGGATCCAAATTTGAATTGAGGTGGGTGTTATTTATTTACATTAAAGTATTAATTATTTATATTAAAATGCAACGTGACAGCATGTTGCCACGGTGACATTAATTAATTGGAGTTGAATACTTGCCACAATGAAGTCACTGATTTAACATATGGAATCCACAAAACCCCAGACAGCACTTCCAACCCCTGCTGCCAGAATGCAGAACTCATAAACATTCTTCAAAAACAATGACAGAACCATCATAATTCAAAACCATTTAAAATGAGGTTTACACTAATTCTTATCAAACATCGCTAATGTACTGATATTATTGTTTCCTTTGCAGGCATAATGTGAGCTGAGAAAGGATGGACATCAAGACAGGGCCACAAACTTTTACTACTTTTTGAAAATGCTACAGTTGCCAATTAATTGGGAGAGATGACAGATACATCTCCTATGCTCCTCAGTTTGGATTTCTCAACAAAAGTACACTCATATTTTGTGTCCATGCATGCAAATGTCAGGGGCAAATTCGGGTATGTATTAAAACTGAATCTATGCATTGTGCTAGTGAAGTTGCTAGCAAAATGATAGATTTAAAATTTTACTTACCTGAAGTCTGCTTCCTCTTAGGCATGCTGTATTTGTGTACTCTTACAATGCTGTGCATAGCATCCTACATTATTTTGTGTGCAACGGTGTGAGAGACATTGTCCAATACTGATATTTATATTTAATAAATAAATTTCTGCGCAAAAACAGTAAGGGAAAGACCAACTAAATATTGCTCTAATACAGGAAAAACCAACCAGACAATACTTTTGAAAAATTAAGTTAAGCCCTTAAGGACCAAACTTCTGGAATAAAAGGGAATCATGACATGTCACACATGTCGTGTGTCCTTAAGGGGTTCAAATAGAAAATATATATATATATATATATATATATATATATAAAACAGTATGATGATAGCCGGAGTCAATAGATTTAATCCTTAAATATTATTTAGTGTATCCAGTAGCACTGAAAACACATTGCAGCAGAAGTGATGTGTCTAGATACTAAAACATAATCAAGACAGACCACAAAACACCGGTTTGGTGATTGTAGTTTCTCCACTTACAGATAAAACAGATAAGAGGTGATTCTATTTGACCTATAAAATTAATATAGGTACCACAGTGCACTGCTCACTGTATATCATTTGTTTTTGCATGCAATGAATTAAAAACTTACAGGATCAATGGTAGAGCTCATATCAGGAGACATTCATTTAATTAATTATTGCATGCAAAAAAGGTTATAAACAGTGAGCACTACGGCACCTATATTGTTTTTATAGATCTCATCTGCTTTATGTATACAATTGAAGAAAGTACAATCACCACATCGGTGTTTTGTGGTCTGTGTTCATTTTGTTTTGCCGTTTGGACACATCACTGCTGCTGCTTTCAGTATAACTGGATACACTATATAATATTTAGCCATTATGTCTTAATCTTTTGACTCCAGGTTATCACCATATCATTTTTTTTAATGTCATTGGTGTTGTTTTGTCAAATCCTGCACTCACCCTGGTGAGGATGCACAGATACATGCACACTGGCTGCAAGTGTCATGGCATGATATGAACATGAAGATTCCAAAAAAATGAACAACACAGCAACCATCAAAATGTAAAGTGTAATAATTATATTGCATTGCAGTCATGTCTGGTAATATGTCAACATTGATTCTTTGCATTGTAAAAAAGCACATGTATACGAAAAATATCAGAATTTTTGGAAAAACTAAAAAGGTATTTCTTGCTACTGGAACATGAGTCAGTCGCCCTTAAAGCAGATTGTTATATGGGTTATTTTTTTCCCATCACTAAATTTCACCAGAGTGAAAAAATCTCTCCCCTTTTTGCTGTTGCATATCTGATGACATCATGGCCCAATTACCGACCCTGGTTCACAGATACAAAATTGTCATGTTTGCTTTTTTCATAAATATAATCCACAGATGCTTTTGGAAAAAAAAAAAAACAATAGATGTGAAAGAACATAAACGTCTGAAACAAAGGTTATGTGTTTGTGTTTCATTTACAAGTGTGCAACACCTATATATCCGCCACAGCACCCAACAGTCATATACCAGACTATAAATGCTCCATATAGCATCTGAGAAAGCCATCATGAAGTGAACATATATCCCAACATTTCAAATGGACAAATATGGACACTTTAATTTTAGGGGTGTAAGTGGGGTGTGTGGCCAGGGGCGGTGCTGTTCTGAGAAACTTTTACTAAACTGGTCACTCAGTAATATTTCCATACCAGAGATTCTCGCCCTTCTAACTTTAAAACAAATATTCTACACTCAGTCTTCCTTTCAGTCAAAGATGCTGTTCTCAAGTCTACACAAAAGCTTGCAACTTTGATGTTCTCAATCCCAACTTCCACTCCTCTTATCCAGTCAATCACCAAGCTGTCATTTCCACCTCAGAAAGATACCTCACATCCACCTCTAACACCAGATGCAGCCAGGCGTATCCATACCCTAATTATCTTCCACCTCAACATCTGCAACCTCCTTAACCATTTTACTCATTCCTGATTGTGAACTTATAATTCATAATATAAACAATGATGTACCAGCGCTACTTTTAGTTCAGGTTTTTATAAATCTGTATAGACAACACAATAGAAGGAGATGCTATAACACCGTGGTTTATCTTTTCTTTTTCTTTTTTAATTCTTTATTTTTCTTTGTGCAGGGAATATCAAAACGTTGGTCAATGCCACAACGGAAAAATAGAAAGATATGAACACATTAGATGAACATTTTTATATTTTAGAAACAAGCTATTCTAAAAGATAAAACAGGCTAGTAACATGTTAAAGTTTTTAAACCTACTGAGTACAGACTAATTTTGCTTGTCTAGTGTGTGGGTCATGGTAGGGTCATCCTGCTTGTTACGCTAAACATGCTATGGTTCCAACAAATATAGTATTTACTAGAGACGTTTAAACATTGCCTAATTGGCTGAAAATATAATTGCGTTGTCTACAAGCATAGCATTAAATCAATCGGCATAATGTAGTTTGCTGGGCTAGCAATATATACAGGCTTATTTAGTTACTTTACTGGGCCAACTACTTGCATCATGTGTTATTGCAGGCTATAGGCTGCTCAGTTAGTCACCGCCAGCAAGTTAGGTACTATAATGCCTGTCCGATAGGAACGTGTCAAGATTGCAGCTTGGATATGGTCCCGGATTTTAACAGTCTGTTCAGCCGATGCCCTGCAGGGGCCAAGCCGGTTGAGACCCTTTGATCCCGGTCAGGTTTGGCTGTGCTTTCCGGGTAAGTCCCTTGGGCAGTGCCCTGTTAGGCATTGGTGCAGCATGCCTCTGTCCACGGTAGGTGACATTGGGAGCAAGGCTGCGATCAGAGCAGGCGGCTCGTTGGGAACAGGGTAAGTCCACCCTCCTGCCCCAGGCCAGTAGCAAGGCCGACATCTTGAGTCCACAGACCCGGCTTGCACGAGGGGCCGGGTCTCATTCCTTCTGGGAGCAGTGGGGGGTCTTGGTGGACGGCCGCTGAGTGCGGCGGTGAGCCCTCCTCCAGCGTGGGCGATGTCTTGGGGTTGCGCCCCAGTTGGCCTTCGGCCCAGGTTGGCCAGTAGTGGGAAGAACAAGCTTTTGTAAGGTCGCTGGGCCCGAGGGGGTCCTCTGTGCCCTCCGGCTCTCACCTCTCCGGTCTGCTCTCTGAGGTTACGCTGTTTTGATTGTGCGACTATGCTGCTGGGCTTCCCAACGCTGTGGTGATGCGGGTGGGCATATTTTGCTTAGTAGTAGCTGCCAAAATGCTTGAAAGTGGCTGTCTATTCGGGTGAGGATGTTATTAGAGTGCAGGGTTGAGTTGCATGCTTCCGCCATTGTGGAGGGGAGGCCCCCACCCCCGTATTGCTTGAGGAGGCCGCAGGCTTATTAAGGGGATGCCGGGTGCGGGTTTCTCCGGCTGGCGGGGACCAGGATGCCCCCCACCGGTCCATGGGGGGGGTGGTGTTCACAGCTTACTGTTGGGTGTGTGCGTCCGGCGGGAAAGCGGCCGCCTTTCTCCGCCGCCTCCTTTGGTAGGCCTCAGTCTGCTTATCCGGGGCAATATTGGGGTACTTTGAAAGTAGTGGTGGGCTTAACAACATATGGCCATATGGTGGAACTAAATCCCCATACTTATTCTCAGATAGGCATTTTAGTAGCCTTCTTTGTATTATATATTGTTTTGTAGTCTGAGTGCGCTGCAACTATTTATTGTTTTATGTATGAAGTTTGGTCACTGCGGCAGCACCTTTCATACAAAATGCAGGTCTTGGGAGTGCCCCCTATCCTTTTTCTGTATTCCTACTTTTTAAGGGACCAAAAGTAATGGGACAGATTAACAGTCATAAATCAAACTTTCACTTTTTAATACTTGGTTGCAAATCCTTTGCAGTCAATTACAGCCTGAAGTCTGGAACGCACAGACATCACCAGACGCTGGGTTTCATCCCTGGTGATGCTCTGCCAGGCCTCTACTGCAACTGTCTTCAGTTCCTGCTTGTTCGTGGGTAATTTTCCCTTCAGTTTTGCCTTCAGCAAGTGAAATGCATGCTCAATCGGATTCAGGTCAGGTGATTGACTTGGCCATTGCATAACATTCCACTTTTTCCCTTAAAAAACTCTTTGGTATGCTTCGGGTCATTGTCCATCTTCACTGTGAAGCGCCAATGAGTTCTGAAGCATTTGGCTGAATATGAGCAGATAATATTGCCCAAAACACTTCAGAATTCATCCTGCTGCTTTTGTCAGCAGTCACATCATCAATAAATACAAGAGAACCAGTTCCATTGGCAGCCATACATGCCCACGCCATGACACTACCACCACCATGCTTCACTGATGAGGTGGTATGCTTTGGATCATGAGCAGTTCCTTTCCTTCTCCATACTCTTCTCTTCCCATCACTCTGGTACAAGTTGATCTTGGTCTCATCTGTCCATAGGATGTTGTTCCAGAACTGTGAAGGCTTTTTTAGATGTTTTTGAGGCTCACCAATGGTTTACATCTTGTGGTGAACCCTCTGTATTCACTCTGGTGAAGTCTTCTCTTGATTGTTGACTTTGACACACATGCACCTACCTCCTGGAGAATGTTCTTGATCTGGCCAACTGTTGTGAAGGATGTTTTCTTCACCAGTGAAAGAATTCTTCGGTCATCCACCACAGTTGTTTTCCGTGGTCTTCCGGGTCTTTTGGTTTTGATGAGCTCACCGGTGCGTTCTTTCTTTTTAAGGATGTTCCAAACAGTTGATTTGGCCACAGCTAATGTTTTTGCTATCTCTCTGATGGGTTTGTTTTGTTTTTTCAGCCTAATGATGGCTTGCTTCACTGATAGTGACAGCTCTTTGGATCTCACATTGAGAGTGGACAGCAACAGATTCCAAATGCAAATAGCACACTTAAAATGAACACTGGACCTTTTATCTGCTCCTTGTAAATGGGATAATGAGGGAATAACACATACCTGGCCATGGAACAGCTGAGCAGCCAATTGTCCCACTACTTTTGGTCCCTTGAAAAGTGGGTGGCACATATACAAACTGTTGTAATTCCTACACCGTTCACCTGGTTTGGATGTAAATACCCTCAAATTAAAGCTGAAAGTCTGCAGTTAAAGCACATCTTCATTTCATTTCAAATCCATTGTGGTAGTGTATAGAGCCAAAAAGATTAGAATTGTGTTGATGTCCCAATATTTATGGACCTGACTGTAATTCCACTAGTTACTCTGCACTATAGAATATCAGGAAGTATATTTGCATCTTTTGTGCTTTCTAGAGCTTCTATCATATTACAGGGAGGCAAGGAAAACACTATATTATTTAAAATGTATTCATCTAAAAAGTTAAAAAGTGCATGGCTATCTCCTATAAATTCCAGCAGGTCAACAATACTGCTTTGTTTGCCTTCGTGATAGTTGCGCTTCTGCCTCTTGATGATTGTATTTGTGATAGAAACAATGGTAACATGAGACACAGAAGCCTGTAGCTCAGGTAATGATATACCTCTGTACATCAGTTTGCATGTGAAGGTGCTGCTGCTTAAGGTAGACTGAATGTTCAGCGGTGAATGATTGATGTTTGAACATATCAACCTAATTTTATTTAAATTTACTTCCGCTAGAATTCCGCTTTAAATTAGTAGTTTAATAGGTTAGGTTGTTTTAATTATCATCGTGATAATGGTGGAACGCTGATTATAGTTATCCTTTTTCTAATATTTTCTTGTAGACTGCTAATTGCAGGACTTGATTTATAGCAGGTGATCTGGATTATTTATTTATTAATATATTTTATATGACTGTGAAATAGGTAAGCCCTACTGCCAAATTCTCCAACAATAACTATATTTCTGGGAGGTGTAAACGAATGGTCATTCTCAGCCCTCTCTAAAGAGCGATTGAAGCTGTATTAGTACAGATGGGGACTCTATTACGCTTTCTATACCACTGTTCTTCCTTCCAAGGAGCTCATAAGAGGTCTAAATAAATCACTATATATGATGAAAAGTAATTGGAAAGGTGACATCATTAGCATGTTGAGAAAAATAATGTAATTCTGAAAAAAAAATACTTTTTATTTACTTTTTTTCACTTAACTCTTAACAGTAGCTAAATCGAGATCTGAATGGCAGCCATTTAGAAAAAAAATTGCTAAACTGGAAAATTATTTCACTCATCTGTAGTTACAGATTGACTATTTTATTTGCTACAGTATGCTTTACTGGTTATAATGCCCTTCCCAATGTAAGTAGTCAAACGATTCTAGAACAGTTTAACTTTTTACCAGAAGTCCGCCAATTGCTGCTCCTCTCTCTCTGAGTTAAACTCAGAGGTGCAGGGCCTAGCTTATTGGTTAAGAGCTAGCCCTGCACTGCAGGGTTTAACTAAGGAGAGCTAATGGAAGCTCCTAAGCAGAAGATTTCAGCTCTCTGTTGGCTGTAGAGGAGCCAGGGATCTGCACCTGGTGGACCCAACATACAAAGTTAAACTAATATATATGTTTGACTACTTACAACGGGGGAGTGCTAGTGCCATACTGTTATCACTACAGTGTGTTGTTAAGGTTATAGCGTTTAGAGTGTTCCTTTAAAATCCTCCAATAATGATAATAGCTCTGCTTTCAAAAACATTCCATTTTAACAGGAATACCGTTGTTAATATTTTTTTTCCCTTCATGCCAGATGCTTCAAAAACATATTTTCCATTGACCAAAAGTGATGTCCCGAACGGTTCGGCGAACGGTTCGCCACGAACGATTCGCCACGGACTCATCATTGAGTAAACTTTGACCCTGCACCTCACAGTCAGCAGACACATTCCAGCCAATCAGCAGCATACCCTCCCTCCCAGACCCTTCCATCTCCTGGACAGCATCCATTTTCAAAGCTGCATTCTTAGTGAGCTGTCCAGGTGGTGGGAGGGTCTGGGAGGGAGGGTCTGCTGCTGATTGGCTGGAGTGTGTCTGCTGACTGTGAGGTACAGGGTCAAAGTTTACTCAATGATGAGTCCGCGGCGAACCGTTCGCGAACCGTTCGGGACATCACTATTGACCAAATATACAATTAATCTCAAAATAGTATTCTTTCATACTAACCGTGTCAGCGTACATACTGCATTTACTTTAGAACATGTTCTCACTTTAGACCAAATCCTTTTTTATCTAAATAGCTCCAAACCCATGGAAGAAGGGCTAGCCATGTTTATGAGTTATATAATTCTAGATAAATTGTGTGAGATGCAAAGCTTGCCACTAAAATGGTTAAAAAGCATATTCTTGGTTGAAATTCAAAAAAAAACAAAAACATTTTTGCAACAAATAAAAGCAAAGTTTATTTCGTATATATATTAAAATGATTATAAAACTGCAAATAATACACAAAAAATACAGGATGGAAATCAGTACAGTAAATAAAACCCGCATTGCATCTCCACAGTAGCACAAGTGCTTTGTCTCTAATAAAAGACTGTACTGCTTTCCTGTAATTATCTGAAAACATTGCCTACACTTTGTCCCTGGATTTAAATAAGAGATCTACCTTAACAATGTGACTGTGCCTTGATCACATTACCACTGGCACAGGGCCAGCTTAGAGAGGAAAAAAAAAAGGAAGAGACTCTTCATGCAATATATTAACAGAGATACGCAAGAAGAAGCAACAGTTTTCAGGATTCCAAAGACTGTAATGTTTCTTTCTGTTACTTGATCTTTAAAAGGTTCATTTGTTCTATGATTTATCCTTGTGCTTCCTCCAACTATCTGCAGAAATGAGTGAAAAAGACTCTCTAGCGAACCAGGAGATTCCAGCTGTTATTCGTGCCCTTGGGACATTGGCACTGGCTGCTGCCACTGCGGTGGTCATCAAGTGGTTTACGTCACATGAAAATAACGAGGAAAAGCTACTAGGAGATGGTGAACCCAATTTGCAAACACAGCTTGAAGCAATACCCCATGAGGACCAGTGCAATAGCAATGGACCTAACTTTCTCGATGCTACAACTGCAAAAAACATCTCAGTACTAAAGGTCAGTGACGAGGTTGAGGGCATTAGCTCAAGCTATCCTAACGACAACGAGCATGGGCTAAAGATAAAACTTTTTGGGAACAATTGCCATTGTCAAGAAAGTTCTCTAGACACAAGCAATGCTGAAGAGAAAGATGGGCGGGTAGCAAAGAACAATTGTGCAGATGCTTCATCAGGTACATGTGAGCATATGTGCAGTAATAAAAACAATATTGCTGCTTGTCACTGTGACTTTTTTGCTAACGATGAACATGTCCGAAAGACAGAACTGTCTGCATTATTCAAAGGTGTTAATATAAATGATGCATGGGATTTGACTAGTTGCTACATACAAGAAAGGCATAATGAATCACCTTGTGAAAGATTACGCAGTTTAGGTGAACATGGCAACCGCTTGGGAACAGGAAAGTCAAGTAACATAGACGAGCAGATATATGATGTAACCTGCAAATCTAAAGGGAGTAAAGTACAAAGTCATGGCAACGTTTCCCCTGTGCAGACTCAACAACAGAGAAACATGGGACTGCAGCAAGAGATATTTGCTTCTGATTCAGACAGAACAGCAGATGGAGTGTTAGCCTGTTTTTTCACACTTAACAAAAATGATTCAGAGTCTGAAACAGAGAAACTAGTTGATACTTTGCAACTGGAAAATGCATGCAATGACCAAGATTGCAGTAGGATGGTGTTTAGTGGTCAGGACTCAGTCTGTAATTGTGCGGAAACCAAGAATTTAAACGTGTCAAAATGTGAGAACCACCAGAGTAATGATAGAATATTAATTAATTGTAAAGAATTGAGAGATGACCTGTCAACAACTGCTGTGGCCCCATTGGTGGTAGAAACCATGGCAAATGACAACTGCATCAGTAATACAGATTGTTTTCAAAATAGCATTACAAATGATCAGATGCCGTATTCAATAAACGGAGATTCAATGTTGTCTAATGACACTGATAGCTATAAAGACATTTGGAAAACTGAAAGCTATGGCACCCAAGATAAAAGGTCTTTGGAATACCCGCCACATAATGTCCTAGAATATGAAATACAGGAACAAACACAAGCAATATTTCAAAATGAAAGTTCTGTGAGTGCTCCTCGTCAACAACTGTCCAATCAGGGAAACAATATTGAAAAGACAAATAGTGGGACACCACTGGAAATTTATTGTACGGAGCCAATCATAAAATGTATCAGCAATAAAGAAGATAACTGCATAGAAATTGCCCAAATAATGCCATTGTACAGTTCCTGCACAGCCCAGTCTGTGGGCCCTGCATCCAACACTACTATACAGAACATCAAAACAAGCCTAAAAATCAATGATACTTGCCGTCATAACAGCAAACATGTAATACATTCATCAGTAGAATACAGTGGTACCACAACATACCATGTTAAATACAGTGATAACCTTGACATGGAACCAACATCTCTTTTAGAGATGACATATGCTGAAATTTGCTCCACAGAATCCAGAAGTATGGATTATTCTGTACACATTGATAAAGATTTAATTATAAATCCTAGCCATGAAGCAGAATGCAAAAATGATGCTTCCGATGTGCAAATGGTTGAGGAAAAGCATGAAGTCAATGATTCTCTTGCACACTATGAAGTCTGTAGCAAACTACTTGATGAAAAAGAAAAATTCAATCTCAACTTTGAAACTGGATGCAGAGATGATGCTCCTGATGCGGAAATGGAAGATATAAAAAATGTAGATAATGCTATGTTACTTGAAGAAGAGGTAAAATTTAAGCCAAGGTCTGAAACAGAATGTAGAAATGATGCTTCTGATACAGAAATAATTGAAGTAAGACACAAATATAATGAAACACTATTTGATGAAGATAAAACATATAATCATGACGTTGAAAGAGAATGCAGAAATGATGCTTCTGACAAGGAAATTCTTGATCTAAAACGCAATATCAATCATATACTGCTTAATGAAGATGAACATTATAATTCAAGTCTTAAAACAGAAGGCAGATTCATAAATGATCGTTGTAATGCAGAAACAGTTGAGGTAAAACATGACGTCAATGATATACCATTTGATGGAGATGAAAAATATAATCCTGGCTCTGAAACAGAATGCAGAAATGATACGTACGATGTGGAAATGGTTGAGGTAAACCAGGAAGTCAATAATATACCACTTGATGAAGATGAAAAATATAATCCCGGCCCTGACACAGAATTCGGAAATTATAGTTGTAATGCGGAAATGGTTGCGGTAAAACATGACGTCGATGATATACCATTTGATGGAGATGAGAAATATAATTCCGGCCCTGACACAGAATTCAGAAATTATAGTTGTAATGCGGAAATGGTTGCGGTAAAACATGACATCAATGATATACCATTTGATGGAGATGAAATATATAATCCCGGCCCTGACAAAGAATGCAGAAATGATACATACAATGCGGAAAAGGTTGTGGTAAACCAGGAAGTTAATGATATACCTCTTGATGAAGATGTTAATTACAAATTAAACTTAGATCCTAGCAAACTAGAAAATGACACACACTCTTATAAGGAGATATTGCATTCAAAATTTCCCTCTCTTACGGAGTTATTTTCCAATGAGAGCACCTTGTCAACTATAAGAACAAACAGCCAAGATACTGATACAAATTCTAAGGGGCATCAAATAAATGAAAACAAATACCATCAAGAATATCCATTCAGTGGTTTTAGAGATTCGCCATCTCCCATTCAAAAAGTGACCTCAACAGCTTTTTCAATGCAAAGCCATAATTTGATAAATGACACTGAACAACCTGTGGAGTTTTCATTTACTGAGTCATCCTGCCGAGAACCTGCTGCACTAAAAAAAACAAATCTGAATGCTGTTTTAACAGCACCTAAAACCAGAGAAGATAATTTAGAAGTAAAAAAGAATTCTCAAAACCTACACAGTGAAAACAATAATCTATTAGTTTATATGCCTGGCACATTCTTAAATCAACAAAATCAACAAACAGTAAAGGAGGAAATCTATAAGAATAAAAAAGATTTTCCTTTGAAGCTGACTAAGGAAATGCTAGGGTGTAATCCGGATGTCGTACGTTTGATACCAACAGAGAAGACAACACTAAATGATGAATGCAGCCTAACAATGAACTTGTGCAGGCCACAAACTGCAACTCCAGGCTTCGAACAAGAAAAACAATCAGACTCTGCTAATAACTCTAATGTGACTTGCGAAAAACCTCAAAATACCCCTCTATCATTTAGTGAATTAAAAAGATTATACTCAAACATTCCGCAAAGCTTTTTCCATCCCACAAAAAAGTTGTCGGCTGTTGAAGAAAAACATGAGAAAAATGCACCAGAAGACAATTATGTCTTCACTCCAGATGGTAAATTGCCCTTGGTCACAAAGAGCTGCGAAAATATCCATGATGGGATCTCAATCCAGAGGCCCAAACTAAAAAACAAAACACAAAGCATGTTGTGCTTATTAACAGAGTATTATTCATCAACACTTCACAGCTCTGAAAATGGGCCAATTGAAGAAGTGTCCAGAGGAAGCTTTATTCGCATACCCAAGGGTCTTCAGGATATAGGAGAAGCCGTGAGGTTTCATCTGACATTAGGAAACTGTTTAGAGTTGCTCAAGTTAGCAAGAAAAAACAGTGTACCCGAACTTCTGAAAGCAGTTTATACTGTAATTAGTGATAACTATCTTCATGTGCTAAAGAACTCTGCCATTTATGGCCAACTTAGTGGCTCGGACAGGGAAAGGATCCTGCAGTTACGTATGAGGGGGAAGCCTTCTCTTTGTGTTGTTGAAATAAAGAGTATCTTTGGTTGGAATAAAACTGGTCAGAGCATTGAAGAGACTGATACAATTCAATCAAAAACTCAAATGTACACACTGGATATGGAACTAAATCAATGGGACACTATAACCAGTATTCCAGAAGAAGCATGTCTTAAAGGGTGCAGCATCTGTTCAATGCACAACTACCTGTTCATTGCAGGAGGCATTCAAAATTCAAGTGGAGTTTCAATCTGTTCAGACAAATTATTTTGTTATAACCCTCTTACAGGCATCTGGAGCCAACTCACATCAATGAACCAAGCACGGTCTCAGCTGAAACTAATTCCAGTTGATGGTCACCTTTATGCTATTGGTGGACAGTGCTTACAAACAGTGGAAAGGTATGATCCTAGGTTGAACAAATGGACATTCAGGTCCCCACTTCCCAAAGGTTCCTTTGCAGTGGCCCATGAAGCTACAGAATGTGGAGGAGAAATCTATATTTCGGGAGGTCATTTATTTTATCGCCTTCTAAAGTACAGCCCCAATAACGACAACTGGGAAGAATGTCCTTTTAATGCCAGCAGGGGACGATCTTGTGATATGGTGGCTGTTAAGAATCACCTTTATAGATTTGACATGCAAAGAGACTCAACAGTTAACATCTTCAAATACAATACTACAGCAAAGATCTGGACAGAATATTCAGCAATCTTTCCAGCGAGTAAGATGCCTTTCAGATGTGTAGTACTGAATAATACAATCTACTGTCTAAATAGAGAGACAACTACACAGTTTGCAGATGGAGATGGCAAAGCGGTGTTTGAGCCAGTTGTCTTAAGTAATTTCCCCACCAGAGGCCTAGTGGGAACTCCTTACCCTATTGTGTTAAGTCTGCCTGGACCAATATCACAGACATCAGTGTAACATGTTGTTCCTAACAGCAGGTATACAAATATATTGTGCACCACATATATACATATACTCTAGGGGATATTTGCACCAGAGAAGTGCATTCTGTGCTATTTATGAAATATTTTAAAACCAGTGCAGTATTAAGGTGAACCTGCCATGAGAGGTTCATTTTTCTCACTCCTATTTACGTATATCTTAAAAATAAATAATATATTATGATACACTGGTTTTTGGGTTTTACACTAGTAGTACCACCGACACCAGGTTCCTCCTACCTTCCATGACCAGCAATCTGTTGGAAAGCAGAACACCACTTCACAAAAAAGTGCCTCTTTAATACTCACACACAGGCTTTATTGTCAATGCATAGACGTATGAACATAATGACGTCTGTCATTCCATTCACATGTTCCTCTGACAAAGCACAAGACAAAGTGGTTTTCCTTGTGAGTCAATCCTTGCAAACACACTATGTAGATAACTGAATGACTAGTGAGGGAAGGTGACAATTAAAAGAACACTACAGACACCATAAATACCAGAATTCTCTACAGTGGTTATGTTGCCAGGAGTGCCCTGGCTTCCCCCCTTTTAATGGAAGCTCCGACTTAGGAGCTTCTGGCATCTCCAGAGCAAATGGTGAGGTAAGTAGAGGTGCGCAGGGGATCCCAGGTAAGAAATCAAACTACACAGTGCAAACTGAAGTGGTCATGTTGCTCAGAGTGTTTTATTAAGATTGTATTTTATTTAATCTAAAGATTTACTAGCATTTCTGATTGCACAGTGTATAGATAAAACGGTGTATGGCAACCATTGTGTGTATTTAAGAATGATTAAATAAACAGCTGAAATTAAATTCACTTCGCCTTAACCATGATGTTAACTTATATATAAAAGATATTCCAGCACTCCATTGCAGTAGAATTCTCTCTTTTTTTATTTGAGGCAGTGAAAAAAATATGACAATGTTTCGGCCACACGCATGTCAAGATTCTTAGTACCCTTTCGAGTCATAAGTGGTGACTGAACACCATACATACAATCAGATTATCCGGTGATGAGTTATCTGTGCTTCATGTAAACAACAGGGAGATTTACAAACAAAATTTTTGTATTCTGATAAAATGTTTTTATGTAAATGGAATGAATAATAACTTCTCAACCATTCTAACAGTTCTATTTAAGATTTCAAAATTAAAATATGCATATTGTGTACTTGTGTAAATGCACTAAATAGCACTAATGAGAAATATTTTTTTTTACTAACAAAATTAATTTGACTTACATTTTTCAAGACATTTGTTAAATTACCGCAACTTACTACTTAGCGAATAGGTTCCCACGTTTACCAAGAATGGTAAGATAGACATAGAAGTATAGAGGAGTTGCAGAGCAGGTAAGAAGTCAAACCGTTCTAAAATTGTGTGACTCCTTACAATGGATAGGGGGTGCAAAGGCACTCCTTGCACCATAATCACTGCAGCGCACTGTAATTGTCATACTTCTTGCTTCATGGTGTTAAATCGTACTTAAAAAGTTTAACACCAAAGTTCTGTCCCTGGGCACCCATCCCACTGCCTCCTCACAATTACAATGTTTTAACGAAAAGATTCATAAACGAGCTTTCAAAAAGAAAAGACATATCATTGTAATTTCTTTTTGTGGATATTTAATTTAATTTATGAAAGACCCAGTGCATTAAGGGTTGTGCTCTTGCTGTGGCTGTTCATTACAGTAACTCTGGGTTATAAAGCAAACATACCTGTCATAAATACTTTTAGAATATAGAAAATGCAAAGTTAAATAACTTAAAGCCTTAAAATATCTGTAAAAATGATAACTTTGACATAAAAAAATACAATTAAAAAAAAAACATTTCTCAATGTACTGAAATAAAGTAGTATGTTTATCTTGTTCTGAATAATGTTGTCCCTGGGACATTTTGTAATTGTCTCACTTATTGTAAAATTTTCCCCTTTCATAATATTGTAAAGCGTTGAGTAATAAGTTGGCGCTATATAAATATTACTACTGCTATTAATAATAATTTAACGGTGTCCTATGATAGTAGCTACTAAATCTCTATTTTGCTGCATTGCTCTTAATAATTTAGATTGTACACTGCTAGCACAATCGCATACAGAAGCAGATTACTGTCCATGTCGCATGAGCATTTTTGTTTCACTTTATTATTTTCTTGCATAGAAATTCAACCTTTTTCTGCATAGCTAACTAAATAAAATAAAATAAAAACTGAGTTATGATTAAGTTATGATTTTGTTAATTACATGTTCTAATGTCTTTTTACTTGGCAATTTCTTGATGTCTAAATATATAATCAAGAATGCATTGACAAGGGAATTGAGCTAGGCCCAGGGTGATGACATACTGCCATCTACTGTCATTAGTACAAATAGCAGTAAAGCAAATAAATGAATGTTTTGTTATATGTATTTTATTCTACATTGTGGGTGATATGTCTATTGTATAAGACAGATCTGTAGAAATATTAATACAATAATTGCACCTGTCGTCTGTCACAAGACCTTTGAGCATCATGTGAACTTGCAGTCACTCTATATTAAATTTCTTTCTGATAGAAAAGAGTTTTTGCAAGTGTCCTCAGCAGTCTTACATTTTTATCCAAAAAGCTCAACATGTATATTAAGAAGGGTTAGCTTAAAGGGTCACTCTAAACACCATAGCCACTACAGCTTGGTGTAAAGAAATCATAAGCGTCGTCCACCTGGTTTGTGTCCAAATGTTTACAAGTGGTATGACAAAACTCAGGCTCTGCCACCACCTCCAGCCTGGCCCCTCATGTCTTGAGACAGCATACAATAAACAAAACCCATAGACTTTGATACATTTGCTGTGAAAAAGCCATCCCTGAAAAAAGTACCCTCCATTATTCTTTTCCACCATGCTTAGCAGTGTGCCGGTTAAAGGACCACTCTAGGCACCCAGACCACTTCAGCTTAATGAAGTGGTCTGGGTGCCTGGTCCAGCTAGGGTTAACCCATTTTTTTTATAAACATAGCAGTTTCAGAGAAACTGCTATGTTTATAATAGGGTTAATCCTTCCTCCAATTCCTCTAGCGGCTGTCTCATTGACAGCCGCTAGAGGCGCTTGCGTGATTCTCACTGTGAAAATCACAGTGAGAGCACGTAAGCGTCCATAGGAAAGCATTGCAAATGCTTTCCTATGCGACCGGCTGAATACGCGCGCAGCTCTTGCCGCGCGTGCGCATTCAGCCGAATGGGAGGAACGGAGGAGGATCGGAGGAGGAGAGCTCCCCGCCCGGCGCTGGAAAAAGGTAAGTTTTAACCCCTTTCCAGAGCCGGGCGGGAGGGGGTCCCTGAGGGTGGGGGCACCCACAGGGCACTATAGTGCCAGGAAAACGAGTATGTTTTCCTGGCACTATAGTGGTCCTTTAAATAAAAGTGTCCTATCTGGTAGGAACAGATTGTCACTTCTTTCCCTTCGCTAGTTAACAGCGGGTGCAAAGTATCGTTCTTACATTTATTTATTTATGTTGCCTACTGACAAATATAGTTTGTTTGGGGTTTTTTTGCTTTTAATTTTGCTACAGAAGCTTTTTGTTAGAACCGTACAATCCAGCAGACAAATATAGCATAACCATAACTCAAAAGAACAGAAAAAGAAAACGTTAAGGAGGTCAAGCTAAAAGGAATACCACCAAAGAACTGGTGCAACATTGGAGCTTAAAAAAATGGACTTATAACGCAACTAAATAACTCACATGTTCCCCAAAATATTTCTAGGCATGGAACCTCTAACATGCTACTTGTATATTAAACAGCATATTAACAATGTAACTTGCACATGGCAAACAAAACGCATCTTTATGGGGTTGATATGTGATAAACTATCACATGCCTTACCTACATCCCCTCCAAGTTAAAGGAACACTATAGCATAGACAAACATGTATTACTAATGCTATAGTCTCCTAGTCCCTATTTATATTCTGGGTGGTCCTTTTAATCTAAAAAAAGTTATACTTACCTTTCTTCCAGCTCGGAGACTCACTTGGTGCTGCCACCCGCTCCGTAACATCATCCTGGAGGCGTCTCTTCCACAATGATTGTCCAGTAGAGAGGCACTGGGGGATGAGATGTGCATGTGTGTTGAGCTCCACTCACTTCCTAATGGTTTTAATTTTCAATTCAATCCTTCCCTATGAGTTGCATTTGATGATGTTTTGCATATTGTGAGCAAATCCACCATCTGCAGTAGAATAGCATGACTACTCTATACAGAAAGAATTGTATATGTTTTGCAAGCTTGTCACCTGAAAACTAATATTTAGTTTTCTCTGGTTGTAAAAAAAAACATTCATCATGCAAATTTTAAATATTTTACTTGCTGATAAAGACTAGCGTCCCCCAAATTCCGGCCTACCTCACATCTATGATTAAATGGTTGATCCAAAAGAAGGCAAAAAAAACTCAGTTTGATGTGCTTACCAATTTGCAACAAGCTAGGGAAAAAATTCCTTCTTGACCCCAGAAAGCAGTCGGATTTATCCTTGGATCAAGCAGATATCGCCCTACATTGAAAGTTGATGCCCGGTCGTTATGACAAGTATTAAATAGGTCTGATAGTGATTGTAAAACTTGGATGTTGATGGGAAATCTGGAGATTGGAAATTCCCAGAACCCTTGAGTATGGTAATAAACTGGTATGTGACTAGAAACCTGTACAACATGTGAAGTTGTAGACTGGATAGGTAGAGTTGATGCAAGTAAGAGGTGGCAAAAGAAGCAAAAGTCAATCGCAGGCAACATATCAACAGAGACAGTAAACGTTACATGTGAGACAGGAGCCTCGAAGGGGAAGAAGGTCCGAACACATGTACTGCGAGTGCTAGAAAGAAAAAATGGCAACCACGAGCTCACAAGGTTGGCAGCCCGCGAACAAGCTCAGAAACGCCGGGAATGGTAGTGGCTGCGGGAGAGGCCGTAGGTAGGGCCACATTAGAAAGCATAAAGGAGGCACAGGACCGATCGTACGAAAGAGGTGCGGGAAGACCGGTTCGGATCCAGTTAAAGCGGCAGATGCCAGTTACCCCAAACTGCCATCCGACACCGCCCCATAGCCAACAGCAGCGTTACCCATGTAGATGGACAAACACTGAGAGAACAGCTGACTGGAAGGCTGCCATGGGGGGGGGAAATAAGCCGACTCGCGAGAAACCGCAGCAAAGCAAGAAGCACCCAGGACCTGAAAGGGGTAGGCGTAGCCAAAACTCCATAGGGTAATGAGAACCAGACCCAGCCAGAGAGCCCGGCGGAAAAATACCATGCCTAGCAGCTGAGACCTGCTAGAAAAAGAGACGAAGAAACCGCGTATAAGTGACACAACATGCGTGTGTCGGGATTACTGTTTGATCCAGCACGTAGAACTGTACAGCACGGATGACAAATAAGTAACGTATTACCGGTCCTTAGAATGGCCGGATTTAACGTACAAAGAATAGTCAAAAATACTAGCCGAGGTCAGGGAACACAGAAAGGGACACAGCGATGAGGAAAGCCAGGAGTCAGGATACCAGAATATAGAGAAGTCAATAAACAAAGCCAAAGTCAAAACCAGGTAGAAAACTATAAACAGGAACGCGCTCTCAGACAACCACAAGGGAAACCACGACAGGGCACTGAGCAGGCTGAGAACTGGGCCTAAATACCCCTCCTTTAGTTCTGATAGGCTGTAACCGGCCTTTGACCCCAAAGTCAGTTACCAGGTTTCATTTGCATAATTGCTGCTCAGCATTAACCCTTCTG